AGAGACTTTGTAAACACAGGGATATCCAAGTTGTAGCCTGTGGGCAGCCCGCAGCCCAGGATGACTATGAATGTGGCCCAATACAAGTTTTTTAATTTACTTAAATTTTTTTTTCTCATCAGTTTTTGTTAGTGTTTATGTATTTAATGTGTGGCCAAAGACAACTCTTCTTCCAGTGTGGCCCAGAGCCACCAAAATTTTGGACACCCCTGCTAGAAGAAACTTGCTTAAATGACCTGGGTCTTGGAAGAATTTTATGACACAAAAAGCCATAATTGAGAAATACATATTTGACTGCAGTAAAATTAAGAACTTCAGGTCATCAAAAAGACACCATAAACAAAGTGAAAAGAAAAACCATGACTTCGGAGAAGAAAAGGCTTGAATAGCCAACAAACACAAAAATAGGCACAACCTCATGAAGTCAGAGAAATTAGAACCACAGTATGAGTCATTAAATCCTGACAAATACTAATTCGTGGATGTGAAATAGTTGCTAGTGGGATTACAGTTACAGGTACAGCTAGTATAGAAACTATTGTGGTACTAACTAGAAAAGTTACATGTGTGTATTCTATATTTATTCCCTTGTTATATATTCCAGAGAAATTCTTGCATACTTGTATCGGTTCACATGTATAAGAATGCTTATAGCACTATTAATCCAAATAGCAAGAGCATAATGAAATCCATCAACAGAATAATAGGTAAAGTTTGGCATATTTATATGTACTGGAAATGAGTGAACTACGCTTATATACAGTGATATAAATGTATCTTTGAAATATAGTGTTGTGCATGTCTTAAAGTAGTGCCAATCCATTCATACATACATTAAAATAGCTGTTTATATTTTTGTGTGTGTTACATTTACAAGTTGTAAAACTACAGAGGAAAGCCACAGTATAATTACTTCAAATAACAGGATAGCTATAGTTCCTTTTGGTGGAGGTGTTGGGGGAGGGAGAGGGAGATTTACTTAAGGAGGGGACATACCAGGTTTCAAAGATACTGATTCTTAACCTGGCTGGTGGTTTGCCCTATTATTATTTTTTTAATGTAGAAATATTTATGATATAACACACAATGAAGTAAATAGGGAATCAGAGAGTCAAAGGGCAGTGTTAATGGGGATGAAGTACAGAGATTTTCTCAAACCAGAAAAATGGGGTGGAAAAATTTGGAAGGCCATGTGGGAATATTGTCTCAGGTCCTAGGGAAAGATATTTCTAATTCTCATTTGTTTCTGAGCTGTAGTTCTATATCTGTAGTTGTCTTATTAACACCCTCATGGGCTTCCTGTTAACGGAGACTTTGGATAAAAGTATCTCATTGTTTTGCCACTAGTATCACTTTTCCAGTCATCCAGGTTCAAACTTTTCCTATTATACCTGTTATCACCAAATCAATGTTTCTTTTCCTTTGAAAAATCTCACGTATATCTGTCCCTCTTTTTGTTTTATTAACACCTTTGTGCTCTTTCATTACAATTAAAAATGAGGTATTTGAATGTATCTTAATTAAACCATATATAAAACAACTTGTTTTGAAAACTTTAAAGGCATTTGGGAAAAGTCAGGCTTAAATTTTTTTAAGAAGCATTTTGGTAAAAAGAATAAAAATTCCGCCCTGGCTGGTGTAGCTCAGTGGATTGAGCACAGGCTGTGAAACAAACGGTCACTGGTTCAATTCCTGGTCAGGGCACATGCCTGGGTTGCAGGCCAGATCCCTACTTGGGGGTGTGTAAGAGGCAACCACACAGTGATGTTTCTTTCCCCTTCTTCCCTTCTTCTCTCTAAAATAAATAAGTAAATAAATAAAATATAAAAAAAAAGAATAAAAATTCCATGCTACATAGGTACGTCAGATATTTTTACTGATCTGATCCACTGGCAGAAAGGAAACACTTAAGACTTCATTGAGCTCCAGGCTTTTTAGTCATTTCTTATTGCTGGAATTTCATTTTTATTTACTCTTCTTGAGTGAATAAACTGGACCATGATAGCAGTAAGCTAGCATTTTCTCAGTGCTCCCCTGCTAAACTTTTAGAGTTTAGTCTTAACTGGTGGATCAGCTGCTTTTGATTCGGCTACATCTTAAGGCTTTCTGAAGGTCTGTGTTGGTCATTGAAGTTGTGAAGGTGCTGGTATTGAAAAGATTGCTGATACTGTGTTATCTCTTTGGTTTTCTTTATCCTCTCCATGGCTAATTTCTCTGGGCTGTTTATAGAGATTAAGGTCCCTGTGAAATTGCGGCCTGTAGTCCTAAAACAGCTTTTGTGTCTCTGCTTTGTCTCTTCTCACACAAGTAGTTATCAGTGCACTGTGTCACTCCTCTCTCCTTACGAAAGTTGGGATATTGTGGTAGATGCTTAACTCTAGCAATGGTGGTGTTGGTCTTGCCTTTTGGAACATGCACATGCTTTCCCCCATTCTCATTGTGGTAATTCTGTTGCTAATGGCGTGAAAACCCCTATCTGTACTCCTTTCTTCCACAGCCTCAACCACAGCCTCTCCATTTCCTGCTACAAGTTATTCTTTATGGTAGTCTGGTGTTCATGTATATCTTCTTAGGGATCATTTCCTATTGACAAAATTATATCAGTGTTTTATATCAAACCACATCACTTCCCCCCAAACTTTTGTTGTAGTCATCTTTTTTGTCCTACTAGTGGGCATGACATGAGGGTTTAGAGGAATAGATCCCATTGTTGGTAGGAAGGTAAATGGAGGGCAGTTTTGAAATACCAGTGTCAACTTCTTGGACCCGTTATTGCTGCTTGTAGAAATTTTATTTACAAAAACATCACACCTGCATACAGATACTCAGTGCAACATCTTTTAATGACAAACAGTTGGAAACAATTTGAATTACTCTTGGTAAAGAAATAATTAAATGGTAATACATTTCTTTTATGGAATGCTATATAGTTGTTTAAATTATTATATTAGTCTGTCATTGAAAGATTGCCAGTATATATTTTAGTTTTTAAAAAAGTGCCAATATATGACTTGAAAGTACTTATATCTTTAATACTTGAATTTTTGAAATAAGATTATATTTATTTATTCTTCAGATTCTTAAGAGCCCATATAGAGAAGATATTGACAGTAATTTCATATAAAATGGTACTTATAAAATTATGTGTTCATGGTTTTGAATATATTATATGTCTTGTTATTTCAATATTATTGTTTATGTACTATATATCAGTGTTTTTTAAAGATATTTAAATAACTATAAATTATCCTAAAGTAAGTTATAGATGCCCCAAGGAATTTATTTACAGAGTACATGTAAAAATTCCATGTTCAGTATTTTATTAGATAATATTAAAGGTGGAGCCATGTAACAAATAGTTTCTATACTTAATTGACTAATAATCAAATGGATGGGTAAGGTGAAAACAAATAAGTAAAATATGTGTATGTGTACACATGTGTGTACACATGTAATTTTTGAACAACACAGTTTTGAACTGCAGTTTCACTTATACATGGATTTTTTTCACTAAATATTATATTATGTCCAAACTGCAGATTTTGGTCTCCAAAATCTGGGAATGGATACCCTACAGGTACTGAGGGACAACTAAGTTCTTGGGTAGTTAAAAGTTATACACAGATTTTCGGCTTTGGGGTTGAGGGTCCAGCACCCTTAAACTCCATGTTGTTCAAGGGTCAACTGTACACACACACACACACACACACACACACACACACCCCCTATTGATCTGCTTTTAGGAATTTATCCCAAAAACATAATCTAACAAGTGCATGACAAATGTGCAGTAACAGTCTTCACTGCAATGTATATAATAGTAAAAAAATTGCACATAACCTCAGTAACCATCAGTAAGTATTAAATAAGCCAGGATAAAAATGAGATATTATGTAATAATAAATGTAATTACTTGGATCTGTAGTTATTAACAGATTAAGAGCCACAACCTATTAAGAGAGGGGAAAAAAAGTTTAATACATTAAATATAATGTTCTTTCCTTGGATGGTAAATGCTAGCTAGCATCAAGAGAGAAAGTAAGGAGTAGGATGGATTTTGATAGGCAACTTGCAGAAAAAGAACATTTTACATTAGCATTTCCCAGCTTTTTTGGACTCTCATTCCTTTTCTCAATAATTACTAACATCATTAATTTGTGTAATATGATAATGATTTTTAAGAAAAAAGTACTTTATATCAGTATGGTATTAAAATTGCTTTATGAATATTTGTTCTGTGTTCAACAGAATCATTGTTGGCTTCTAATAAGGAAACTTTCTACCAACTATAACCATTTTACAGTATAAAATTTTAGGTATTCTGTGCCATGGTGTAACCATTTATCATGTATGCTGAAAATAAACTTTTAAATGTAATACAATTCCTTGAGTTCCTGGTCTTGACAAATAGTAAACTGATTTGCCACCAGCAAAGTTCATTCCCTAATCCTGAGAGAGTATGGGAAATTCCTTGTAAGAAAGCATTATGATAGTCTTAATAGTTTGTAAATTATAAAATTGAATCTAAAGTGTTAGGCATTCCATAATTTATGACATTTAAAAAATGTGCCCTGGCTGTCATAGCTCAGTGGATTGAGCGCGGGCTGCAAACCAAAGCATCGCAGGTTTGATTCCCAGTCGGGCACATGCCTGGGTTGCAGGCGAGGTCCCCAGTGGGGGGCACATGAGAGGCAACCACACATTGATGTTTCTCTCTTTCTCCCTCCCTTCCAGTCTCTAAAAATAAATAAATAAAATATGTTTTAAAAAATGTGGCCCTGGCTGGTGTGGTTTAGTGGATTGAGAGCTGGCCTTCAAACTGAAAGGTTGCTGGTTCGATTCCCAGTCAAGGCACATGTCTGGGTTGCAGGCCAGGTCCCCAGTTGGGGGCATGAGAGAAGCAACTGGTTAATTTCTCTCCTTCCTCTTCTCTCTCCCTCCCTTCCCTTCTTTCTAAAAATTAATAAATTTTAAAAAATGCATATTTTATTTCTACTTAGGCCGAATACATCAGGCAATGGTAACATCTTTAAATGAAGATAATGAAAGCGTAACTGTTGAATGGATAGAAAATGGAGATACAAAAGGCAAAGAGGTAAGACCATTGAATTAAATTTTATTTCTAGTCCTGCAGTTAAATTTTGAATATAAAGCAAAGCAGAAAAGTATATAATTTTTGTGTTGTACATGTATTATTCCTTGAAAAGCTTTCAAGTGATGAAAAAATTTCACTCAGAAAGGTAGCTTTCTCCTGCGTATCTTAGGTGATTAGACACATAATCAAGATCACGGAATGCAATTTTAGGTGAGATTCTTTAAATGTATGTGAGTTACAATTCTAGGTCATCTGGTTTTTGAAGCAATACCATTCATTAGTCTAAAATTATTTAACATTTATTCTCTGTAAATTTATTTGAAAAATAAAAGTTTAATTGTCAAAATAGACTCTCAAAATACATGTGGTTTTTAAAATAGATTGACTTGGAGAGCATCTTTTCACTTAACCCTGACCTTGTACCTGATGAAGAAATTGAACCCAGTCCAGAAACACCTCCACCTCCAACATCCTCAGCCAAAGTAAACAAAATTGTAAAGGTTAGTAATGAAAATTCAGAGCAGGGGTGTGTCTTTGCATGTGTGTTATGTGTGTGTGCTATGGTTTGAATTTGGCAGGCTGTAGGAGTATGTTCCAAGTATTTGTTTTGTTAAAAAAAAAAACATAAAACCTTAATGCTTTCTACCATTCACATGCATGTATATACACACATACTTTCAAGGGTTGAAGTTGTCTATTTCACAGTTACAACAATTATTAAATAAAATTCTAGAAATGTCTTCCCTGATTAGAATTTTTCCTAAAACTTGTAGCTTCTCAGGAGATAAGGGGTCAAAACAATTTGCTCATCAAATTGTTGAGTGAATACAAATGACTTCGATAAGGAAAGAATGTTTATTATTCATAATACATTCCTACTCCAATTGTGTTTTGGAATAGTAATTCTGCTCATTTCAAATTTATTAAGTAGAAATGGGAAATGACAGTGTAGTTTAACTATTTCTGTATTATCTGTGAAAATAAACTCTAAAACCCTGCTATATCCTCCCTAACAGTTCTATTTATATAAAAATAAAAGGCATATTTTTAAATTTTAAAAGATAATTCCCCCTCATTGCTGTTGAAACTCACTGTTAAAATTTTGTATCAAAATACAACTCTTTTTAAACTAAGTAGTTCCTAAAAGTTGTTGAATCTACAGTTTTTTTGTGTGTTCAACAGGCATTTGTTAATTTTTCTACATTGTTGGTTTTGTCACCTACAAAGATGAATATGACATGGCTTTAACCTATAGTGGAGGCCTGAGCTCCACCTTCTCCCCTACCTCTGCCTGAGCTCCGCCTCCTGTATATGTTTACCCCCCATCCCCAGGTCTGTGGAAAAACTGGTGTCTGGTGCCAAAGAGGTTGGGGACCACTCCCCTATGGGAACTCCCTATCTTGCAGGGAAGACATACATAGAAGCTTAACAATATCCGTAAAACCTGCTTTTTAAACCATGCATGTAAACATAAGGCAGATTTTCATTTCATATCATTTCAGCATATTGAGAGACACTGCTTAGAGATCATTAGTTACCACTTGTAAGTGGATAATTTTTTATAGTTGGCTTCACAATCTGAAGGATTTTCATAGTTTTTACTTCTGAGTATGCATTAGCAACATTTGCAGTACATTAGAGTCACCTGGAAAATTTTTTAAAAATATTTATTGCTAGGCCTATTCCCAGAAATTAATTTTATCTAAAGAAAGGCTCTAGCATCAATACCTTTTCCACAGTACCCATCAGATTTGAATGTGCTGTTAGCGTTGAGAACCACTGCATTATCTGATATCTCTTTTAAGTAAATAAACTGAAATATTGGTAAATAAATAATAGGACAAAAATCTGTGCCCTAATCTATGCAGTCAATGAAACCTTTTAGTATAACTGAGAGTGTGCATCTCATTGTATTTTGGTGTTTCAGTTTAACAGTGGGCTGTAAGTTGTCTAAAATTAGTATTTTATTAATTGCCCCCTGACATCCAAAGATGAAATATGTTACATAGTTTTGGCAGGATAGCATGATGATTAAAAGTGCACTGCACTTGACTGAAATTGCTTCAGTTTCCTCTTCTATCAAACTGGACTAGGAATAACAATGAATTTATAGGGTCATTGTGAAGATTAAATGAATTAATACATATAAAATTCTTTGGGCAGTGCCTGGCTCATTATTTCTGAATATTTTGTGGGGCACAGAATACTTATAGAGAAACTTGAATATTAAAAGCAGTAATTCATTAGAAGATTATTTGTAGTTTTTCTCCATTTAATTTTAAATTGTGTCCACCTAATTTTGTTTAATTAAAGGGGACTGATTATGATATATTGATAAGAAGTAAAGAGAGGCAGTAACATGAATATTTCTCTGTTATAGAATCGACGGACTGTGGCTTCTATTAAGAATGACCCTCCTCCAAGAGATAATAGAGGTAAAGTAGAATTTTATTAATTTTGCCTGTTGGCCCTAACAAGGTAAATCAAAAGTAAATATTACCCTTGACATTACTGTTTATTTAAACTTTATATGGCTAATTTTAAGATTGGTATCTTGATTTCCTAATATAGTAATATATATTCATAAAGGTAAGTGATGAATTTTTTATTCATTTCATTTACCCAGTAATTTTTCAGATTTTAGGAGAGTGTTAGGATAAAGAAGGGAATGAGAAACTAGTCAGTTGATTAATTTCACAAGAGTAAATTTAATCATCATGACATTATACATAAGTTGTTGGCTAACAAGCTTCAAAAAAAGGGTCATGAGTAACTTTGTAGTCAACTAAAAAGTTGAACAGGTATAAATTTTAGTTAATTGCAGGTCTTACATATATTTTCAAACAGGAGATGTATAGTTAATTTCTTAGTATTCAGCAGTTCAGCATGTATTTCCTAATAGTGATGTTTTTCTGTATGTATGTATGTATGTATGTATGTATTTATATCCATACATACGTACAGAGAAAGGACGGGCATAGGCATTGGAGGAGAGACCGGAAATAGAGGGAAATCCAGTACTTTATACACTGTCATTTGCATCTTGTGAAAATTTATATTTCTTTGTAAAATGTGATATTTATATTTATATGTCTTTTTCAACTTTTATAACAACCACAGTAGGAAATTCTCTGCTTAAATTTTGCAGCTGTGTCTGGTGTGGCTAGGTGGAGTAAGCACCAGCCTGCGAGCCAAAGGTTCGCTGGTTTGATTCCCAGTCAGGGCACATGCCTGGGTTGTGGGCCAGGTCCTCAGTGAGGGGCACGTGAGAGGCAACAACAGGTTGATGTTTCTTTCCTTCTCTTTCTTCCTCCTTTCCCCTTGCTCTAAAATAAATAAATACCATCTTATAAAAAAAATTAAACAAATTTTGCATGTTTGAGGAGCAAAGAATTGGATTTGGAATATAGGGAGGGTTAAAGGACTTAGGTTTTTACTTTCTGTAGTCTGAATTGTATAAATTTTTCAAAATGAGAATGCATTTAACATTCTTATTTTGTACAATTATATTATTAAAAATTAAGCTTGGCTTTAGTTTTTATATAAATTATTCAGATTGAGTTTTTAGTTAAAACTACATTTGTGGCACCTAAGTCTGCACATATTATGCCAAAAACCTCTTAGCTTATCAGTTTATTGAACAGAATTATTATCTATTCTGTTTATGTATACATCAGTAGGAAATCTGACAATTTGCTAATGCAGCTTTTAAATATCATTTCTCTTCAGATATATCTCTTCATTTTACTAAGGTTTATACTTTTACTGATTTTTTGTTCTGAATTAAAAATTTTTGTTTTACTTACAGTGGTTGGTTCTGCCCGTGCACGGCCTAGTCAGCTTCCTGAACAGTCTTCTTCTGCACAACAGAATGGTAGTGTTTCAGATATATCTCCAGTTCAAGCTGCAAAAAAGGAATTTGGACCCCCTTGTATGTAAATCATGTATCAAGGATTCAGTCATTTTAGGCATACATGTATTCTCTCTTGGTCATCTTTGTAAGTCCCCAAATGGTAAACAGTCTAATTACCAACTTGACTGAAGGTTTCATTTTACCGCTGTGAAAAATTATTTTTTTCTTGTTAGTTTAGTTTATTAATTGGTTTTTTTAATGGATATTTTGGAGAGAAAAATTTTACTATAAAACTTTAAGTATTTCAGTTGCTTTGAATTTAAAATTCTGGGCAGATGATAATTTGACAGATGTTGTACCAGAAATTCTTACACTTCTTGCTTCAAAGATCTGTGATTCTAAACCAAGAGATGACATGTATCAGTATGTTTCAGAGTCATTTTTCTTGACTCTTATTTGTATATTGTCCTGTTCCTAGTTTTGTTAAAGCAGCTCATAAAGTTCATATAGTTGTTAATAAGCATGCTTTGTCACTGTGTACTTTCTTTTGGTTACGTAGTGATATTATACATAAAATTTTGTGTGTAAGTACAGTACTCTGAAAAAAAAGTGCTTCTATAGCTCATCTTTTTCTTTCAGCACGTAGAAAATCTAATTGTGTGAAAGAAGTAGAAAAGTTACAAGAGAAACGAGAAAAAAGGAGACTACAACAACAAGAACTTAGAGAAAAAAGAGCTCAGGTTTGTAATGGAAATATGTTTTGTTTGTGCACCAACTGAAGATTAGAGTGTAAGTGAAAGTAATTGGCTTAGGAAAAAGTAATTGTGTTTATTTAAAGATTTCAATGTAGTTCATTAAATTGATATTGAGGAATAATATAAACTCTTGTGAAGAAGAGTTATAATGGTTTTCATTACATGTACTTTTCATGTTTTAGTGAGTATGTGTTAGTCCTAAAGTTTGTTCCATTTTGAATAATAAGCTCTTGTGTACAGAACTCTAATGCAAGAATAATAGGATTCTGACTTTTAAAAACTATCTAAAAATACATCATTTAGAAGAATATTCAGTTAAAGTACATGGTTATGTTATAAATTATTGTTTTTCCATGGTTAATAATAAGGTCAACATAGCACATTTGAAGTGGATAAATTCTTCGTGTTTTGATTTGTACTAGATATTGAGAGTGGTATCTGTGTTGTGCCCTCTAGTTCCCTTCAGATGGTAGCAAAACTGTTTATGAGCATTAGAAAAATTACATAGAGAATTGGTCTTTTATCTTCCTACAGATGTTCATGTATTAGACGTTCAGTTATTGTACATATAATTCTTCCATTGTGCTTATATTGTATCCTCAGAACTTATTTCCTATTAAAAAAAAAATCAGGATTTTTTTTTCAATTTAGGAGTATGTTCAAATCGCCTTAATCATAAAGATGTTGTGTTTGGGAATTTTGAAACCAGTATAATATTCATCCTAAGTAAATGATCTGAGAATGACCAGTGGGTTTTGAAATAAATATTTCACAAAAAAAGATAGATGTACTGATAACTTAGCACAGATGCCACCTGGTGTTTCCTGTGGGTGCTTCGTAATATTTTCACATCTCTTTGTGATCTTAATTTCCACTTTACATATTACTCCTCAGTTGACATAGTTGGTATTATTTCTGAGAAGATTACCTGAAAGTAAGTTTCATTAACAGTTTTGAACTTTAATTATATTCAAAGCCAATCTGCAAATGGTATATGAAGAAAATATGACTTCTTAGAATGTTCAGTAATTTATTGCCCGTGGCTGGGAGAGGCTGTTAACTGTTGCTCTTTATTATATCTTAATTTGAATTTTCTCAGTTTTGACAAAAAAGTAAATTACATTTATGTTTTTCCCAAGGCCAAGAAACCAAAGAGAGAGAGGTTGCCAACTCCATCATTACATTAAAAGTTTATTCAGGGAACTTATAAGTGAGGTGTGTCTTGATCAGAGACAAGAAGACATGGATATCATTCATCATGTGGCAGGGGCTAAGGTGTTCTATAGGACAAGGCAGGATGGATAGGGATGCTGGCATGTGACTTGCCCCAGATGAGGTGAAAATGCTTTATTATATACTTGCCCAGGGTAGGGCCAAGGGCCTGTTCCAGGAATTGGCATGCCTGTGGCACAGGGGAGGAGTCAGACAGTCTGAGGGGATTTGGGGGAAGCATCATTGTTTTGGCCATATCTAGCAGCATCTGTTTGAATCTAGTGGGAGAGTCAGCAGCAATCAGATAGGACCAGGAAGTGGCCACGTCATAGAACATTCTCTTCTCCACAGCAGTCAGTATTCAATAATTTGAATAATTAAGATTTAAAAAATTATCTTGGCTTTTGATTCCTTTAAATTCTAAGTCCTGTCGATTTGGAACTGTTTTACCATGCCTTAGTTTTGTTTTGTTTTTTTAAGAAAACCAACAAAAATAGAAAATGAACATAAATGAATACATATCTCTACTTGTTGACATTGAATTAAAAATTGAGAAGAATCTGACTAAATGAATTTTTCTAGAATTTAAGATGAGCACTATTTCTCCTTTGCTCTATTTTTTAGGATAATTAAGGTATATGTATAACAGATAAATTTTTGAAATAGGTCAAGGATGGCTTTAATGAGGAATGTTTGATTTAGAATTAACAGAATGCTCCCTGACCAGTGTGGCTCCATTGGTTGGGCATTGTCCTGCAAAGCGAAAGTTTGCCAGTTTGATTCCTAGTCAGGGCACATGTTTTGGTTTCAGGTTCAGTCCCTGATCAGGTGTGTATGAGAGGCAACTGATTAGTGTTTCTCACATTGATGTTTCTCTCTCCCTTTCTCCCTCCTTACCCCTCTCACAAATAAATAAATACATAAATAAATATTTTTAAAGAAGAATTAACGTAATGCATGTAGACTACCAAAATTATATTTTTAATATAAAAATGATTCCTAAGCATATGATTAGTCATAACTCTGAAACTAAATTGTATCACATCTTCAGTTTGAGTGTGGACTTAGCTAGGGCAAATGATGCAAATCTATTTAATTTTAATTTTCAAACCATATATAATAAATGCAACAAATACCACATTACTATAATTATAATACATGATGATTCTCTTTGTCTTCTTATAGGATGTTGATGCTACAAACCCAAATTATGAAATTATGTGTATGATCCGAGACTTTAGAGGAAGTTTGGATTATAGACCATTAACAACAGCAGATCCTGTAAGATTTTTTTTGTAAATCATTGCTCTGGAACTCTTTGTGCTAAACTAAAAACATGCTTAATCCCCACTAAGTTAATATTGTATTTACTAGGTAAATTTTACTTTATGTGCTTATTTCCTGCATTTTAAGAAAATCAAGAAATCACCCATATTTATGCTTCTCTTCCGTAATTTGATGTGTCAGACATGCGTTCAACAGAGCTGTCTGTTTCAAATCAAAGCCTTTCCTGTCTTGGTAGGGCAGGACAACAATTAAAGGAGTTATGTTTGAACACCCAATTTCCTTCACTTTTTTTATGGCTTTTGCTGTAGATCCCTCTGTCCAATTTACTATCATGTTACTTTCTCAATAAGTGTTATTTTGGCTTTTAACAGTAAGTGGCGGTGGTTAAGGATTGCAGTAGACCAGGAATTTAGTGCTCAAAAAGTGTTCTGCTGTTTTATTACTCAACTCCGGTCCTATTGAAGAATGAGAATTAAATATTCTCTACTGGACAGGGAATACTTTTGTGAGTAATTGGTACTTGTGAAAAATAATCCATTTCAACTAGCACATACAGAATGTGGAACACAAAATACATCTGTGTTCAGGTGTATTATATAGGATTTAATAGAGTTGTTTATAACATTTGCATATCATGTATTTGGGTACCTTCATGTGGGTACTCCTGCTTGATACTTTTCCATGTGTTTAACCTACTATTTCTGAGCTCATACTTTATGACAGTGATTGGCCAACGTTTTTTGAAAAGGACCTGATAGTAAATGTTTTTGGCTGTCTGAACCATATGATACAGTATTTGTCACAACTATTCAATCCTGCTTTTGTAGTATGAAAGCAGCCGTAGACAGAATGAATAAATGGGTGTGACTGTTTCAGTAAAACATTGCAAAAGCAGGTAGTGGACTGGTTTTGACCTGCAGGCCATACTTTGCCCATCCCTGCTTTATGTTAATTATTATTAAAAGGTAAGTATTGGGAACATAAATTTTATGAAATGTATTTATGTGTGAGAATTGGCATGTTCAAATTATTTTGTTCAGTAATCTCCTGGGAATCATGTTTCTTGTCTATGTAGTTATCTTTGCCAACAACTTTCCCTATAATCCTCCTGAAAATATGTCAATTGGAGGAAATTTTACTTTTGTTGTATACAGCACATCTTGAAGTGAATAAGGCAGCTTCTTAATGTGAACTTAATGCTACTAAGAATATTAGTGCCTTCTGCAAGGTTATTTCCTAGTGGTTTACCAAATAACAAAATAAAAGGAGTCTCTATTATACTCAGAATTTTATAAATAATTGTATCTGATAACTATTAAAATTTGTGTAAGCTACTTTGTTTTTTAAGCTTACATATCCTATTTATGCCATGCATAAATTTCTAAAATCTTTGGAAGAAATACTGCATAGACTTTTTCAGTGTTTTATATACCACTGATAATCACTGAAATAAAGTATTTTATTTCTAGATTGATGAACATAGGATATGTGTTTGTGTAAGAAAACGACCACTCAATAAAAAAGGTATGATGCTTATTGAGCTATAATAAAAGGTTGATTTTATCTTCTTTGTAATCTGTTTTGTAGTAGCAGAAGTCAGTTTGGTTTGGGACAGTTAAATAAATGTAAATCATTTCATTTGTACATAACCATTATGTGGATTTCTGTGATTAATCTGTTGATATTGTTACTGCTCTGAATTACTTCCATTCCTGGTTCTTGCCTCACAGAAATCTTGATTTTTAAAAATTTGTTGTTGAAATATTCTGTCTTACTGAATGGAATATTTATGGGATATATATTTACAAAACTTTAATTTTTTGTATGTTAATTCAAATGCTGTAAAAGTTTCTGGGCATTGATTTTCATTTATTCTTTTAGAAACTCAAATGAAAGATCTTGATGTAATCACAATCCCTAGTAAAGATGTTGTGATGGTACATGAACCAAAACAAAAAGTAGATTTAACAAGGTACCTAGAAAACCAAACATTTCGTTTTGATTATGCCTTTGATGACTCAGCTCCTAATGAAATGGTTTACAGGTAGGTAAATTTGTTTTAAATTAGAATTTTCTTCTTACACCATGTATTCATCATTACTTTGAAATTTACATTGATCTTGGAATATTTCTCCAGAGGTATAATATGCTTTTGTATTCCAAGTTTAAACAAAGAAGCATGTGTAATACACACTATAATAAATATTAACACGTGTTCTCTTTAATGCTCCCCCAGGTGGTAGTTTTCATTACTGATTAATTTATTATATGCATATTACACAACATATATATGGATAGGAAATTTATAAAGAGATGTTGACATTTTCATACCTCTACAAATGGAAAGTGATTAGAAGAGGAGTTTTATTTTACTTTTAATTCTTGTACTAGTAAAGAAATTTGAAATACTTATACATCAGCCTAATCTGTCTAAATTTTTATTTAGCTGTACCACCACTTTTAAAAAAGTTGCTATAAATCTACTCATATTTGTCTAATTTTTATCATCTTTAAGCTTTGGGGTAGTTTTAATACATGAAATTCTTGTGTGTTAACATATTCCACTTCCAAACTACTCAAATTTACATGTAGAATATATTGATATTCCAATAATTTGTATGCCAAGTTTAGATTTTTATGCTGTTTGTAAATATTCACTTGTAAATATTATAACAGGTCAGTTTTATTTCAGTTTGAAATAACAATACTGCTATATAAAACTTGACAGTTTACTTGATTGCTATGTTTCGTTGTCCTTTTTCTTAATAAATATGACTGCAAAAAAAAAAAACTAGAGAGTTACTGAGAGTCCAAGAATTTGAAGATGTTATAAACGATATGCTATTGAAACCAACTCCATTGGTCTTAAGCTAGGAAACTGGGAGTTCAGTTGTAAAGAAAGGACAAAATTAAAGGACTGGTGAATGTTAGAAAGAGATACTGTGAAGAACTTATTTTAAAAGTGAATTATAATTATAAATTGTATATTTTTTACCTTTTCTGAGAATGGAGTACACTCCTGCCCCCTTACTCTCTTCTCTCTTTCAACTTCTGTCCATAATATATGTCTGTCTGCCCTTTATAATCATTTTCAAGAAATCATTATAAATGAAAGTATGTTAATGTAAATGCTAGATTTAGTAAACATTCTGTGGTTTACCCTATATTTATAGTTATGAACTTTACCAATATTTATTCTAACCCCTTTCTCTTACCATTAATATTTATGGATTGAGGAGTTAGAGCTTTTCTTGTCTAATCAGACTCATTTCTAGAACTTTCTCTGCTCCTTTTGTTCTGTCGCTTCTCCAGTTTGCCCTTTAAAAAAAAAAAAAACAAGGGAAAAATACAATACAAATATTTTTAATAAATAAAATTAAATTAAAAGAAGAAAAAAACCTTACATGGTATGGCTCAGTGGGTTAAGTGCCGGTCTGTGAACCACAAGGTTGCCTGTTCAGTTCTGGGTCAGGGCACATGCCTGGGTTGTGGGCCAGGTTCCTAGGTGTGGGCATGCAAGAGGCAACTAATCCTTGTACATCCATGTTTCTCTCCCTCTCTTTCTCTCTCCTTTCCCCTCTCTCTAAAAATAAGTAAGTAAAATCTTTAAAGAAAAAAAAGAATTAGCGGAGCTATATTGTGTTTCACATATATTATTTTGAAGCCTGTGTAAAAAGTAGATTTGTTTTCTGTTATACTTTTTTAGTGCTCTGCTCAATAAAATATTTGTCTCTCCTGCCTTTTAATTTTAACTCTAGTGGTGATTACACCAGTAACTTTGAAAACTAATCCAACATCCTTTTCTTAAATCAAGACTGTCAACTCAGAACTCAATGTCTTATAAGCATAGTTTATTTTTACTTGTCCACATTCGATGAAATCTTACACTTTTTTACTTAGTTGGTCTAAGATAATGTTTTTGTATTTTTCTTTTCCCCTTTAGCTTTTCTCTATTGAGACTACCACTTTTTCATTGTTTCTGTTGAAACTTTTAGATTGTGGGTTTTTTTAAATCATTATATATGGGGTGGGGCAAAAATGTTAGTCTCCAGTTGTGAGTATGCAAAAGACAGAATTTATTCTTCTATTATTTATTAATTGTATTATTTTCCATATGAAAACTGTAAAGCTACTTTTGCCCTACCCTCTATGTTTTACTTGTCTGGCTAATATTACTATCTTTTTTTTTTTTTCTTTTAAAATTTTACTGTGGTTATATATATATATACATATATATATATATATATATGTATATATATATATATATCATAGCTCAGTTACTCTCAGGTTTTGTTGTCCATCAGTATTGTGATCATTATTTATTATGGAATTACTGGTTGACAATATGCTTTAAAGAGCTTTAAGCAATTCTACAGTACAGTTATTTAAAATTTTTAACAAATTAATAGACTCAGTTGTGGCTTCACGGGTGAGCTTATTGGTTTATTAAAAATCTTGTTAGGAGCTTTATTTATTAATAAAACTCTATATTTTATTTCTTATTTGTTTGATTGGAATATTGAAGGCACAATCTGACTGGTGCTTTCTTATTTTTAAGGTTTACAGCTAGACCACTGGTGGAAACTATATTTGAAAGGGGAATGGCTACATGCTTTGCTTATGGGCAGACTGGAAGTGGAAAAACTCATGTAAGTAATTTATTAAGTTACATCCTGATATGAAGCTAGTTTATTTTCCTTATAGCTCACTTTTTAGAACTAAATTCTTAATATTTATTCCTGAATAATGTCTGTTATTTTTTATTTTCTTCTTACATAAAGACTATGGGAGGTGACTTTTCAGGAAAGAACCAAGATTGTTCTAAAGGAATTTATGCATTAGCAGGTAATGTACCTTTTTGCATATCATTCATAATATTCTTCTTAAATATTATTCAGGCTGCTTTGAAATAGGACTTGGACATACTGTCCGGGATATAGTACTATAGTTACTGTATAGTACTATAGTTACTGTATAGTACTATATAGTACTATACTTACTGTATATTATGTCAGTGTTAGGTTATCACACTGCTTGAAAAGAACTGTACATTCGGGGTGGAAATCTTGGTTATATTTATGTCATTGTAATCTATCACATTGCTGGAACTTACTACTTGTTGTTGAATAATGATTTGTGGAAAGCTTCCATTTTGTGTGGTTATCAGAGCAACCTTATTATAACACCTGTAATTTTATGCAATTTATAAGGATAGATAGTAGCATCCTTTTATTAAATAGTGAAGGATATGGCATCTAAACCTTAAGTGTAAAAAAAATATTACTACTATCTTATGTAAAATTAATGTTTGCTTTAGTCTTCATTTTCATTATTGATGCTGTTATTTTAGTAAAGATTATGTGAAATTCCTTTTAAAGGTAGTATTTGTTGCATCTTAACAAATTTTCTCCATATGAAATTCTTGATAGCTCGAGATGTCTTTTTAATGCTGAAGAAGCCAAACTATAAGAAATTAGAGCTTCAAGTGTATGCAACCTTTTTTGAAATTTATAGTGGAAAGGTAAGTGGAAACTTTAAAATATTTTGTTGTAGTTTTTAAAATTGTGGTTAAACTATGTGTAACAAAAATTTTGCTATTTTAACTATAAGTATATAATTTTGGTGGCGTGTACTTTCACATTGTTATGCAACCATTGCCACCATGTAATTTTTATGTGTATTCTATGTTAGAATTTTGTTAGGAGATTTTTAAAATTTCCTTTGAAACTCTTCAACTCAGATATTGAGCATTTTATTTTAAGTATTAATTTCTAAGTTGATTTTCAGGGTTTGAATGACTAATTTTTATAGAACTGATTCTTTTCTTTTTAAGGATAGTTTTCTAATTTGATTTTTTTTTTTAGGTGTTTGACTTGCTAAACCGGAAGACAAAATTAAGAGTACTAGAAGATGGAAAACAGCAGGTTCAAGTAGTAGGATTACAGGAACGGGAGGTCAAATGTGTTGAAGATGTACTGAAACTCATTGACATAGGCAACAGTTGCAGGTAAATCTCATTTTAATTAAGAAAGGGAAACTCAACTTTATTAATCACTTTTAGATATTTTGGCTTTAACATAAAAGCAAAGCAAGGATATTATTCAATGCATCTTGGAGGTAAAAATCATAGTTCATAAAAGCTTGTCATTACATGTAACTTTGAGTGAAATAGATTCAGTTGTATCACACTACAAATATACTAGAGGTGTGCCAGATTAAATTGTATGAATCTGGTTATGTTTGAGTGTTGTTAACTCAAAATGTATCCTTTGTATTTAAATCATGAAAACTAGATAGGTTTTTTTTTTAATGAAAATACTGTGGTTTGAACACAAATTAAAGGTTTTATGTATCAAACTGTCCTTAATCACATTGTAGAACATCTGGGCAGACATCTGCGAATGCACATTCATCTCGGAGCCATGCAGTGTTTCAGATTATACTTAGAAGGAAAGGAAAACTACATGGCAAATTTTCTCTCATCGATTTGGCTGGAAATGAAAGAGGAGCTGATACTTCCAGTGCAGATAGGCAAACTCGGCTTGAAGGTGCTGAAATTAATAAAAGCCTTTTAGCACTCAAGGTAAATAAAGTATATTTACTTGTGAAAAATCTTTTATTTTTGGTTTTAATTGTATCTACTCAGCTACAGAATAATAGTCCATATTTGTTTAAGTAAGAGAGTTTATCAAATTTAGTTTTTTATATTTGTAGGTATAGATTTATATTATACCCAGAAATTTTGTTTACATATTATTCATTCTTTTTTGGGTGAATAAAAGATGTTAGTTGGCAGGTCAGTTTTAAGACTAGGGAGATTCCAGAGAACACTAATCAGTCATATTTTTACAGAGGAGGTCAAGGAACCACAAAACTGAATGAAGAAATAGTTTCTCAGGAAAATCTGGAATTCCTTTCAAAAAGTTAGGCCAGTATTATACCTCTTCCTTGGCTAGAAAAGCAAAGATTGGCAGGACTACAAGAAAATATTCTGTATTTTTTCTTTCATCGTACAACTTTAAAGGTTTCTTTTTACAGTTATCCCTCTTTCTGTCACTCCTAAACACTACTCATAGTCTCCAGAAGAGTTTTTTGAAATAACAGTTTGTTGGTTTTTGTTTTTAATTTCATTTTCTTGAATTAGGATTTATAGCAACATCTTTACTATGCTGTACACCTGTTAGTAGCATTTTCAGAGCTGATCAGATCTTAATTATTAGAGTTAATAGTAAGAGATCTTTTCAAATACATTGAGAGTACTATTCTTTATAAGAAACCTAATATCTGAAACTTGCTTTCTTAATTTTCAGGAGTGCATCAGAGCCTTAGGTAGAAATAAACCTCATACCCCTTTCCGAGCAAGTAAACTCACTCAGGTGTTAAGAGATTCATTCATAGGTGAAAACTCTCGTACCTGCATGGTAAGTTTATGGGTTTATTTTGTTTATTTCTTTCAATTCCAAATGAATAATTACATAATACCTATGGAAAAATTATAACATACATTAATAACAGTCATTTAAACTCTTCTATTATGAGAGAGACAGGATACTTAAGATGTGGTCCCTTGCAGTCTGGTAGGATTATATTGCAGTTATAGTGCATTCTATTCTGAATCTTCCTGAGGTTGGTCTACATTGAGTATAGTATGGGTTATATTTTTTATTTCTTCGTATGTCTAGTAACTTTGTATTACATCATTTTTATTATGAATAAATACCATATAGACACTCTGGGTTCTGTTATATTCTTCTAAAGATTATTGATTTTTCTTTTGTAGCAGGAAATTAACTTAGCTGAACTTACTCTAAACTCTCATCTCCTCTGCTGTGGGTAGCAATAGAAATTAAAATCTCCATTTAGCTGTTTTAGCCTTCAGCTATGTGGTTGGAGTCTGCCTTAACTACACCTAGTTTAGGGGTGAGTCAGACATCTGGGCATTTTTATGCAGAATTTGAGTTTCTCCCTCTGTAGTTGTCTCTCTGGGAAAAACTTCACTTTCTGGCTGCTATGATCCCCACCTCCTAACTCTGTCCTTAATTTTCTTAACAAGTGAAACTCGACGTTTCTGATGAAGTTTTAGTTGTCCAGCAGAGCTCATCCTTAGGCAATAAAGCTATTAAAGAGGGTTGGGGGGAAGTCATTTAATGTTATTTCGTTCTTCTAGGTGTTGACCTCCATTTTCAGCCTGATTTCGATCACTTGCTGGTGTATTTAGCATTTAGAAAACTGTTTATATTTTAACTGGAATCTTTAATTATTATCTAACTATGGCCCCAAGATAGCCAGTTATCTGGAGTTAAAATATTATTAATAAATTTTTAATAGCTGTGTTAAGATTAAAGTTTAATGAGCTTAAACTTCATTGTGTTTATTGCGTATGCATACACAAACAGGGTTGGGCAAGATTGGGTGTACAGTTATTTGTATGGAAAATAATACAATAAGGACTTCCAGCCAAGATGGAGGTGTAGGTAGATACACTGTTTCCTCGCACAACCAAAAGAAGGACAGCAATAAATTTAAAAACAAAAACCAACCAGAACTGCCAGAAAATTGAACTGTATGGAAGTCCAACAACCAAAGAGTTAAAGAAACATTCATCCAGACCAGCAGGAGGGGCAGAGACAGGCAGCCAAGACAGTGAGGATGCCTGGCAAGGCGATGGCTGGAGGACTGGGCAGTCCCACATTTGTGTGCAGATAAATCAGAGGGAACAACTGGGGAGGGAGACAGAACACACAACCCAGGGTTCCAGCATGGGGAGATAAAGCCTCAAAACCTCTGACTGGAAATACCTGTGGGAATTATGGCAGCAGGAGACACTCCCAACCTCACAGGAGAGTTCATTTGAGAAACCCACAGGGTCCTAGAATGTACACAAGCCCACTCACCCCAGCATCAGCACCAGAAGGGCCCAATTTGCTTGTGGGTCACGGGAAGTGACTGAAAGCTGGCAGAGAGCCAAGCAAGCAGCACTGTTCCATCTAGGACCTCCCTGCCCCACATACAGCACCAAGACACAGCTATGTGGGTTACCCCACCCTGGTGAACACCTAAGGCTCCATCCCTTACTATGTAACAGGTGAACCAAGACAAAAAAAGAGGCTGAAATGAAAGAACAGATCAAAGCTCCAGAAAAAATAGAACTAAGCAATGCCAAGATAGCCAGCCTATCAGATGCACAGTTCAAAACACTGGTAATCAGGATGCTCACAGAAATGGTTGAGTATGGTTGCAAAATAGAAGGAAAAGTGAAGGTTATGAAATGGGAAGTAAAAGAAAATGTACAGGAAGCCAAGAGTGATGGGAAACGAAGCAGGACTGAAATCAATAGTTTGGAGCAGAAGGAAGAAATAAACATTCAACCAGAACAGAATGAAGAAACAAGAATTAGAAAAAATGAGAGGCTTAGGAACCTCCAGGACACCTTTAAACACTCCAACTTCCAAATCATAGGGGCACCAGAAAGAGAGAGAAAGAGCAGGAAATTGAAAACTTATTTGAAAAAATAATGAAGAACTTCGCCAGTCTGGCCAAGGAAATAGACTTCCAGAAAGTCCAGCAAGCTCAGAGAGTCCCAAAGAAGTTGGATCCAAGGTAGCACACACCAAGGCACATCATAATTACATTACCCAAGATTAAAGATAAGGAGAGAATCTTAAAAGCAGCAAGAGAAAAGGAGACAGTTACTTACAAAGGAGTTCCCATAAGACTATCAGCTGATTTCTCAAAAGAAACCTTATAGGCTAGAAGGGGCCAGAAAAACGCATTCCAAGCCATGAAAGGCAAGGATGTATATCCAAGATTACTCTATCTAGCAAAGCTATCATTTAGAATGGAAGAGCAGATAAAGTGCTTCCCAGATAAGGTCAAGTTCATCATCACAAGCCCTTATTATATGAAATGTTAGAGGGACTTATCTAAGAAAAAGTGAAGATCAAAACTATGAACAGTAAAATGACAACAAACACAACTGTCAACAACCGAACTGAAAAACAAAACAAAACAAAAATAAACTGTGCAAACAACTAGAACAGGAACAGAACCAGAGAAATGGAGATCACATGAAGGGTTGTCGATGGGAGGGGACAATGGGGGAAAAGGTACAGGGAATAAGAAGCATAGATGGTAGGTAGAAAATAGGGAGAGGTTAAGAATAGTATAGGAAATGAAGAAACCAAAGAACATGTATGACCCATGGACATGAACTAAGTGGGTGGGAATGTAGGTGGGAGGGGTGGTACAGGGTAGGGGGGTTAAAAGGGGGGGAAGTGGGACAACTGTAATAGCATAATCAATAAAATATATTTTAGAAAAAGAAAATAATACATAATTAATAACAATAGAAGAATAAACTGTGTTTCATGTACTCACAAATGTAAACCTACTTTTACCCCACTCTGTATATCAGCATTTTTGTCTTCATTGTTTATAACATTTTATTTACCTTTGCATTTTTTTTCCCATAGATTGCCACAATCTCTCCAGGAATGGCATCCTGTGAAAATACTCTTAATACATTAAGATATGCGAATAGGTATGAGAAATGGTTATCCACTTTGAAATTCGAGGGGAATAGAGCAATATGATTTGACTTAATATCTGATAGAGTAACTGTTATTTCAATTAAGAAAAATTTTTGCATGATATTTGGGATCATTTTGTAAAGTTCTCAAAATAATTGGAAATGTGTAATTGGAGAAGAGATTTATATTTTTAGTAGAATTGTTCTATTCTAGAACATTTCATAATTTACTACTTTTGAATCATACAAATCCTTCCTAGTATGTTAAGACTCTAAAGTAAGTATAAGGGGGCCGATCTGTATTTCTTAAATTGTTTTGCTCTTTGCTGAAAATTATTTCTGATAATATTAAATGTTATACATGGAATTTAGAGTTTAAAGTAGTAATGACAGCATAGTTCTTTCTGGTATTCTAGATGGGTTACATTTTATTATTCATGTCAGTAGTGTTACAAATTATAATAGATAACTGAATATTTACAGATGAAAGGTCAAAAAAAATTACAGAGTAGTAAAGCAGTTCATATCTGATAGTCGGAAATGCCCTTGGAATTTTGGATCATGATGGGCATATTTGTGTTTGTTCCGTAGATTGTTTCCATTGCACTGGTTTTGAGTGACTATAGCTTTAAATTTCTGTTACACATACTGCATTTGTGATTTAAACCTAGAGAAAAATTCCTCTTTGCAGTCCTTTCCTAGTCAATTAATTTTATTGAATAAAAAGTCTCCTATTTCTTTGTTTTAATCACGATAGAAGTTTTAATCTTTTATTAAAATGTGAAATACATATGCATACAGAAAAGTACCCAAAACATAAGTGAATAATTTGATGAATACTTATAAAATGAAAATTCCTATCATTAGATTGGGAAAGAAAGCATTTCCAGCCCCCTAGAAATTTCCTGAATAACATACCCAAATTAATTAATTAATCTCTAACCTGAGGCAGCTATTGCCCTGACTTCTTTGGAAAAAAATTTTTCTCCTCTGTCTTTTTTATAAAGAGAGAGAGAAACATCCATATGTGGTTGCCTCTCATGTGGCCCCCTTTTCCCCTCTGTTTTTAAAAGTAGTTTTACTACTCATGAATTTATCCCTAAACAACATAGGTCGCTCATTTGAACTTTACATAAATGAGATTGCACCCTTGTTTTTTTGTATCTTGCTTTTGCTTCAGCTAAAGAGATGTTTTTAAATCATAGTAAAAACTGTTGGAAAGTATAAACTTACTGAACTTTTGTAAAGAGATTAAAATATAGTAGCTTCTTTAATATATAACTTTATTTCTAAATTTAATCTCTCTTAAACTTCGAATTATGAGCTTCTAGCTGCAAGCCTATAATAAACATTTTTGGTATTGCAGGGTATTCATCATTAATTTAAAATGCCTCTTATTTAAAAATTGTTTATGGGAGACATGAGGAACAGCTTAATATAGTAGAATATTGCCATGTTGTAAAATTAAGACAAATAAAAACCCTCCATGTCTTCAGACTACTTGCTGCAGAGGAGTTCCCCTAATGTGAGAATGTTCCTTCTTGTCTTTTCTTTAGTTTGTTTAGGTCTAAGTAAAATGTTTTAACTTATTATCATGTAATGCAATCTGTTTGCACATGATTAACCTTCTAGGACAAATGATTCTGCCTTTTATCTCCAAATCTCTAGTAATAAAGATTTTTCAACCTCCTTGGATCGTACTCATTGGAGGAACATGAATAATTCCTGCATGTAGAAAAGTTTAGGTTGGGCAAGAGGGCTTTGAATATAGGGAAGGCATGGTTAGGTGCTGGCAGGCTATCTAAAATTGGAGATTCTTAAAAGAACAAGATAAGAAATGGGGTTGGGAGTAAAAAGAATTAAGTGGTATTAGGAATTTAGATTTGTCAGCATGCCTGGTAAATGAGCTTTCCAAAGTGAACATAAAGGATAAAAGGCAGATGAATCCAGTATTGAACCTTTGGCACAGACATTACCAGTAGGTCAAAGAAAGATTATAGATAGAAGAAAGTTTGATGTACAGATAGAAGAAAGTTTGATTATAGATAGAAGAAAGTTTGATGTACTAAAGATATTAGTTTGATGTATAGTAAATAGTTTGACCTACATTACTCTTTCTGATGTATAAAACAGTAATTTCATTTAGTTCTACCTAAGAAAACTAGTGAGAGAAACAGAATATGGTTAATATACACTGGAAGTGTTTACCATAAGATTTATAGTAAAAAAAAGTGGGTCTGAACCTCAGTTATGCCACATTCTTATTGAATGACCTCAGGTAAGGTACTTTATTGCTCTGAGCCAATTTCTCATCTGCAAGATTATCTTTAGTATTAAAGAATATAATGCCTAAAAATTTCTAATAATACCTGATGTGTAGGAAGTACTTAACAAATACTGCCTACTATTATGAAGTGGGATGGGCCCAAAAAGAAATGGGGGAAATCACAAAGATTGGATCAGAAAAGCCATAATTTGGTTAAATATAACCTAAAGACATTAGCAAAAGCAATTTGAATCCCATTGCTAAAGGCTTTTCTCAACCAGCATTTTTCATCTGAATCACCAAACACAAAAATTATTTGAATGAGTATTTTCTCGATTGGTACACCAAGGATGCTTCATATGTACACAAAAAAAGAAATTAATCGTTACAGACAGTGGGTGCCATTAGAACTTAGTTGTCTTGTGTTCAGTTTGAAAATGCTGCAAGAATATTGAGGACTTACTAATGCTAATAAACCATGGTATTGATTGCACAAGGAAATTAGATTGAGTGGTCATGTAGTTAAATAAGGGCCATTTCAAATTTGGTTGAGGATCTAGTTAAACTTTTAGGAAGAATCATGAGGAAAGGGGAAAGTACTGGAAGGGAAGGACTGTGTAGTAGGGAATCAGTAGGACAGTTTTTAAATCTTAAAATGGATTATTTTAGAAGTGTTCTAAACACATTAGGTCACAACAATGTTAATATTCTTTGCTAAACAAACTGAGTATTAAATGAAAATTTGAAATATGCATTGCTGTCTTTACAAGAGCATTTTCTTTTAATTTGTTGCTGTTTGATGCTGCAGAGTAAAGGAGTTTGGAATTAGTCCATCAGACATTCCCTTCTCACAGGGTAGTGGCAGTCGCCCTGACCTCTCTCCTTCTTATGAGTATGACGACTTTTCTCCTTCGATTACCAGGTCTAGTTCATTCTGTACATAAGATATTTATTATAATAGCTTCATTTGAATGACGCTGTGTATAAATATTTCATTTACATTTTTCCGTCATGAACCATTTTATTTTTCATTTTCATTTTGTTTGGCAGGTGATGGTTGTACTGCATGATCTTTATTTCTGTGTACTTTATTAATTTATTTGCTTTAAAATGTTGATTTGGAATTCAGGTTTTCTATTTTTCCTCATATTATTAAGGATGATGTCATCTCTGCAAATTTACCATTGAAAGATAAATTCTCCTTTAAATTGAAAAGTTTACCTTTATTCTGTATGCTATTATATTCCTTATCTGCAAGGAAATAACAAGGATCCTTTTGACTTAGAAAATGTACATTTTCCCAAATGTGTACATTTAATATACTAGGTAAACACTTTTTAAATGATGGAACTAATTTATATTTTATAATCTTTACACGTTAAATAAGATTATTCACATATAGCTATTTAATTGAGCATTAGAACTACCAAAAATCTGCCAAATGGATCAAATTCTCTGATTTTTGGCAATGATTCATTTATTGATCTGAGTGCCATTGTTAGCATTTTTCTGTTCATATAGTTTAATTTCAACAGCAGTCTCTTACTTACTTTGAAATACTGAATCCACATACTTTATAATTCTCATTATGTATAATAATTATATTTGAAGTAATTGTAAAGTTACCTAAATAAATATGTAAAGTTATACAGCTAAATATCTCTTTAGTGTTGCCACAGATTTCAGGTAAATTTTATCTGGAAAGCTGACATCATCAATCTTAATATGTTAATTGATTGCCTTTATATTGAAAAGATGTCTATATTCTTGTTACTCTGCATAAGTCTGTGTTAACTTAAGGTACTTCTTATGTGTTTATAGGGTGAAAGAATTGACTGTGGATCCAACTGCTGCTGGTGATGTTCGTCCAATAATGCACCATCCACCGAATCAGATTGATGATTTAGAGGCACAGTGGGGAGTGGGGAGTTCCCCTCAGAGAGATGATCTAAAACTTCTTTGTGAACAAAATGTGAGTGACTTAATACAGTTGTAATGACCTAATCTTCATTTCATCAGTAACACAACTGGATAATGAAATCTATCATCTAAATCAGGGGTCACCAAACTATAGGCATACCTTATTTTATTATGCTTCACATTATTGTACTTCTCAGGTGTTGCATTTTTTACAAATTGAAGGCAAGACCCTCCACCAGCAAAACGATTAGGTCTCACTTTATTGAAATGGTTTGGAACTGAAGCTGCAGTACCTCCAAGGTATGCCTTTACAGGCTATGAGTCAGCCATCTGTTTTTACAAATAAAATTTTATTGAAACATGGCTGTGCTCATTCATTTATGGACTGGCTGCTTTCTTACCACAGCAGAAATGGCAAAAAACCATATAGCTCAAAAGCTCAAAATATGTACTATCTGGCCTTTTAAGAACGTTTGATGACCCCTGATCTGAACCTTTTTCTTAGATTTTACACCGATATTAAAATTTAGGTATTTTTAGAGTAACTTAGGGGGAAAACATTTAAAAACTTTACATACCCTATAACATATATAAAGCTTAAAAACAAAATTAACTACAGATTCATGCACATGTATTAAAAACATGCATGACTTCCCTAGCTGGTGTGGCTCAGTGGATTGAGCACCAGCCCGCAAACCAAAGCATCTTTGGTTCAGTTCCCAGTCAGGGCACATGCCTGGGTTGTGGGCCAGGTCCCCAGTGGGGGCCATATGAGAGGCAACCACACACTGATGTTTCTCTCCCTCTTTCTCTCTCCCTCCTTTCCCTTCTCTCTAAAAAGTAAATAAATAAAACCTTTAAAAAAATCAAATGTGGCAAAATGCTACTATTTGTTAAATCTGACTGCTTTCTATGTTTGAAATGTTTAGTGTCATTTAGTTTAAAATTTTGATTCCTCAGATACTCAAAAAATAATAACATATGTGCCCACAACATAAGGACAAGCATGTAAAGAAACAGACATAAATAATACACATTTTCACATAATTACTATATTGAGGGCTTCCATACAGTAAGTTGTAAAAGTTATTTATATGAGTGTAGTTGTTTAACTTAGTTTTTAAAATGTATAATATATATCATTTTGTATCATTCATTTCCCACTAAATTCTATAGTGGCCTTTTCTCATCATGATAAAAGGTAGCATTTGTTTGTTGCTTACTGCATGACATATTTGCTAAACATTTCTGTTACTATCTGATGTAATCACAACTTGATGTGGTAGGTACTGTAATTATCCTTGTTTTTTAACTGACTTTCTAAAAGATTAAGTAACTTGACTGAAATCATACAAGTAAGTGATGAAGCTAGGCAGGATTGAAATCTGTGTCTTTGTTATTTCAGGGCTAAAGCTTATGTCAGCTACATTTATTGCTAGCTGCAATAAAATACAAAGGATGGGCAAAAGTAGGTTCACAGTTTTATGAAAAATAATACAATAATAAATAATACAAGAATAAACTGTGTTTCACTTACAACAGTACACCTACTTTTGCCCACTCTATATTCTTTGTAAATAGTATAACTTATTTTTTAATATTTTTAGCAGGTATTAAAGTCCATAATACTATAGAGTAAAGGATGGACATACTCTTTATTATCATGTTCCAAATTACTCTCTGTTAGTAAAGCAGGGCTTAATGCGGCATTTCTCAACCAGAGTGACTTGGCCTTCCAGGAAAAAATGTATGAGACATTTTCGTTTGTCACAGCTGGAGTGACAGCCAAAACTAAAAGATAGAAGCCAGAGATGCTGCTATATCATACAATGCACAAGAAAGCCTTCCTTCACCCAAAATATCAGCAGTGTTGAAGTTGAGAAACCTGGTTTAAAGTAAGAGTTCTAAACTTTAGAACTCTTTAGTAGAACATAAAGAACTAAAAATGAGAATCCTGGCCTTAGTCTGTCCCCCATCCCCAAAAGTTTTGAAGGAGACTATAGTTACTTATAAAATTCTTTATGCCAACCCTGCATTGTACCAGATATGGAATATGGAAAACTAAAACAAGATAGATACTCTGTATAGCAGATCTTTTCTGTTTTATTCTCACATCTGTTGGGTCTCTGCAGGACCTTAATTTGAAGAGGTTAGCTAGTGACCAGAACCAGTTCAGAGGCTTTCAGCATGACATCATGTGTTCTGGCAGCCTCCTCTGTATTTGAGAGTGTGTGGATTTATTTCAACTTTGCCATCCCCATGGAAGTATCTGGAGATGAATTGGCATTAGCCTTTAGTTAAGTATTGATACTTGTGGACACATTCTTATTGCCATATTACATCTAACAAGGTAGATTAAGATGGGATAGAGTCTAAGACATGCCCTAGAGATAAAACTAATATAGGTAAACTAGAGGAGGACAATCAAGTGCATTAGAATTCTAGAATTAATTGTATAGACAAAAAAATATTCTGAGTAGGCTACATAGAAGTGTTACAAACTTGCATGATATCTTAAAGCAAAAGAAAGAAAGAAAAGGCATTGGGCTTGGGTGGGGGAGGTGGGTAGATACAATGAGTAAAGATGGTTGAGTGTGTGTTTATCAGAGAGAGAATACGAAAATATAATGCCTGAATATCCTGTTAAAAAATGAAAAACCAGATGCCTCTTTTCCCAAAGAGAAGATGAAAACTTCTTTGTCAACTTGATTATAGAGGCTTTCAGGGTTGATAGCTTACTAATGAATGAATCAAATATTTACTTATATTATTTAGCCAAAATATGTACATATATTTATCATCATGTATTTTAGTTCTAAAATGTTGCTTTTTCTACTCACATAAAACAATGTGGAGTAAGCTGAAGCAATATTTTGCACAAATTATAGCCATTATTGGAGTTGGGAAAGATGCTCCAAAGCAAGGCCAGAGACGTTTTGACTTGATGGAGGAACAAAATACAAATATGTTGTATATGTATGTGGGTTTTTTGTTGATGAAGTAAAATCGTGACTTGTCAATTAAAATTTCTGTAAAAAAAAACAAGCAAAATATATAGTGAAATTTAGTCTCAGAAAAGGGACAATGGCCTATGCCTGCCTTTCTGTCTGGAAGGAAGCTATCCCCCAGCTCTTGCCTTGATGCCAGACACTTCATTTCCTTCTTGTGAGCCACTGGTGCCTTTCAAGCTGCTACCCTGGTGCTGAAGCCCAGAGGTCATGAGTCTGAATGCCTGGGACAGCTGACTCTCAGCTGATCCACAAGGCAGAGCATTAATGAGAACAGGTACTGAAGGAAATACTGGGATAATGACAGTAGTGCCCGCAACATGTAGACAGATGCTCATGATGCTGCCACAGCAGAATGCACCACCTGCCATGCCCACTCCATTTCTGTGAGCACATGCTTTAGCTTTGCTGCAGAGGAGCCATTGCCCCAGGGCTAGGCTGTAGAAGTATCTAGTACCTTAATGCATGATTTAGAATTCATCATTGGTGTATAAAAATGCAACTCAAAAGAACAACAAATTGAAAAATGGACAGAGGACCTTAATAGACATTTCTTCAAAGGACATGCGGATGGCCAATAGATAATTGAGAAGATGTTCAGTGTCACCAGTCATCAGAGAAATGCAAATTAAAACCACAATGAAATATCACCTCAGAATGGCTATCATCAAAAAATCAGCAAACAGCAAATGTTGGCAAGGATGTGGAGAAAAGGGAAGCCTTGTGCATTGTTCGTTGGATTGCAAATTGGTGCAGCTACTATGGAAAACATGGAAGTTCCTCAAAAAACATTTAAAATAGAGCTACCTTACAACACAGCAATTCCACTTTTGGGTATATATTCTAAGAAATCCAGAACAGTGATTCAGAAAGATACATGTACTCCTGTGTTCACTGCAGTGTTATTTACAATAGCCATGATACGGAAGCAAAAAAAGTACCCATCAACAGATGATTGGATAAAGAAGACATGGTTTATATGTACAATGGAATATTACGTGGCCATAAAAAGTTGGAATCTTACCATTTGTGACAACATGGATGGAGCTAGAGGGTATTCTGCTAAGTGAAATAAGCCAAACAGAAAGACAAATACCATATAATTTCACTTATTATTTGGAATCTAAAGAAAAAACAAATAAAACAGACTCATAGATACTGAGAACAAACTGAGGGTTGCCGGATGTGGGGAGGATTTGGAGGGCAGTGAAAAGGATTAAGAGATTAAGAGCTACAGATTGGTAGTTCCAAAATAGTCATGGGATGTAAGTACAGTATAGAGAATATAGTCAATAATATTGTAATAACTATGTATGGTATCAGGTGGGTACTAAAATTACTTGGGTGGAATCACTTTATAAATTATAAAATTGACCACTATTCTGTACACTTGAAACTAACACAAAATAATATTGAATGCCAACTGTAATTCAAAATTTAGGAAATGGACAAATGCAGTAACATCATTTAGGGCTAAGGTGACAGTAAAAAAAAATTAGAAATTAAGATTTAATAAGAATTAGAGACTTTCGGCCAAGATGGAGGCATAGGTAGACACACGCACTGTGCCTCCTCGCACAACCAAAATAAGGACAACAAAAATTTAGAAACAAAACCATTACCGACAGAAAATTGAACTGTGTGGAAGTCCGACAACCAAGGACTTGAAGAAACATTCATCCAGACTGGTAGGAGGGGCGGACTTGGGTGGCTAGTCGTAGCAAAGTGGTGGCCGGCGGACCCAGGGAGGCAGTGGGTTGTGGACAGGTGCAGCGCACAAGGCAGCTGGTGGACCCAGCGGTCCCACATTCGCTCACAGATAAACCTGGCAAAACTGGGGAGCTAGACAGACCAATAGCCCAGGGTCCCAGTGTGGGGAAATAAAGCCTCAAAACACTGACTGAAAACACCTGTGGAGTTTGAGGTGCTGGGAGGAAATCCCAGGCTCACAGGAGAGTTCGTTGGAGGGACCCACAGGGCCCTAGAATGTACACAAACCCACCCACATGGGAATCAGCACCAGAAGGGCCCAGTTTGCTTGTGGGAACTGCAGGAAGTGACTGAAATCTGGCAGAGAGCTGAGTAAGTGCCATTGTTCTCTCTCAGACCCTTGCCCCACACAGTATCACAACCCAGAGACTGGGTTGCCCCACCCTGGTGAACACCTAAGGCTCCGCCCCTCACTATATAACAGGCATGCTGAGACAAAGAAATGGCCCAAAAGAAAGAACAGATCAAAGGTCCAGAAAAAATACAACTAAGCGATGAAGAGAGATAGCCAACCTATCAGATGCACAGTTCAAACCACTGGTGATCAGGATGCTCACAGAATTGGTTGAATTTGGTCACAAATTAGATGAAAAAATGAAGGCTACACTAAGTGAAATAAAGCAAAATGTACAGGGAACCAGTAGTGATGGGAAGGAAACTGGGACTCAAATCAATGGAGTGGACCAGAAGGAAGAAAGAAACATCCAACCAGAAAAGAATGAAAAAATAATTCAAAAAAATGAGAGGCTTAGGAACCTCCAGGATAACTTTAAACGTTCCAACATCCAAATTATAGGGGTACCAGAAGGGGAAGAGGAAGAGCAACAAGTGGAAAACTTATTTGAACAAATCATAAAGGAGAACTTCCCCATTCTGACAAAGGAAATAGACTTCCAGGAAGTCCAGGAAGCTCAAAGGGTCCCAAAGAAGTTGGACCCAAGGAGGAACAAACCAAGGCACATCATAATTATATTACCCAAGATGAAAGATAAGGAGAGAATCTTAAAAGCAGCAAGAGAAAAGGAGATAGTTACCTACAAAGGAATTCCCATCAGACTGTCAGCTGATTTCCTGAAAGAGACTTTGCAAGCAAGAAGGGTCTGGAAAGAAGTATTCCAAGTCATCAAAGGCAAGGACCTACATCCAAGATTGCTCTATCCAGAAAAGTTTTCATTTGGAATGGAAGGGTAGAAAAAGTGCTCTTCAGATAAGGTCAAGTTAAAGAAGTTCATCATCACCCAGCTCTTATTATATGAAATATTAAAGGGACTTATCTAAGAAAAAGAAGATAAAAAATATGTACAGTAAAATGACAGCAAACTCACAATTATTAATAGCCATACCTAAAACAAAAACAAACTGAGCAAACAACTAGAACAGGAACAGAACCACAGAAATGGAGATCACATGGAGGGTTAGCAACAGGGGAGTGGGAAGAGGAGAGGGGGGAAAAGGTACAGAGAATAAGTACCATAGATGGTAGGTAGAAAATAAACAGGGGGAGGGTAAGAATAGTATAGGAAATGTAGAAGCTGAAGAACTTATGACACATGGACATGAACTAAAGCGGGGAATGTGGGTGGGAGAGGCTAGGGTGGAGGGGAGTGAAGGGGGGAAAATGGGACAACCATAATAACATAATGAATAAAATATATTAAAAAGAAGATTTAATAAGAATTAAAACCTGACAGTACCAATTTGATAGTTACAGTCTTGAAAAACATACATCTCTCTTCTGGTGAAAAGAAACTTAAGACATATGTATGACTTATATTGTTAGTGAAAATTAAATAATACTGAGGTCAGCAATAAAGGTATTTTTGAAAAGTTCCACTATTCTAAAAGAGAGTTCTTTTGCGGGGATAATTTTTCAATAATGCGCTTGGACTGAGTGAAAAATATTCACTGATATGATTAAGTTTGGGTTGTCTTTTTGAATGTTACATTAAATATTTTTGACCCATAAAAAGAGATTGTGGCTTTGCCTTTCATAGTGTATTTTAGGAGTCTTTACCATTCAAGCTTCCTCAGTTTGTAAATATATTTTTGTAAATGACATAGAAAACCTACTTCTCAAATAACGTTTAAAATGTAAACTGTCCTAATTTTAAAACTAATTTTATTTTAAGGAAGAAGAGGTTTCCCCACAACTGTTTACTTTCCATGAAGCCGTCTCACAAATGGTAGAAATGGAAGAACAAGTGGTGGAAGATCACAGGGCAGTGTTCCAGGTAAAGACAAGACAGGACCTTTCATCAGATATTTCTTCAGAGAAACTAACTACAAATTGTCCTAATTTTTGGACTCCCATGCAAATCTAGTAAAACACTTGTTTATAGGTATGCAGATGTATATTTGTAGGGCATAGGACATGGCAAATTTTGAATATGATGAATGGTGGCTACAAATAACCTTTCTTTAAAGATGTAGTTTAATTACTACCATTCTCCTGGTTTATTTTCTTTTGTCAGTTGTCCATTTTTAGAGAAGGTGTGAACTTCTGCCCGCTAATATCCCTTTTTTTCATATTAGGTCAGTATATTGGAGTGTCTTCATGTCAGGACAGCAGGAAGGAAAAATTCGTTTAAAGGGTTTCAGAGCACCTTGACCAGAATGGCTCAGTTGGTTGGGTGTCATTCCACAAAGAAGAAGGTCACTGGTTCAGTTCCTAGTCTGGGCACATAACCTGGGTTGTGGGCCAGGTCCCCATTTGGGGGTGTTTGAGGGCCAACCCATTGACGTTTCTCACACCAATGTTTCTTTTCCTTTCTCCCTCCCTTCCCTGCTTTCTAAAAATAAAGTAATTTTTTAAAAGTAGAGGGTATCAGAGCAGTTGAGGAAGTATCGGTCTTTGCAGAAAAGGAAGAATGCTTTAGAGGAGGGAGACTTACGGCTCTGACTGAGCTGTCTGTGGCAGATGAATGAGGGGTGTAGCAGTAAGGCCGTAGGTACAGTATTCATTTCATTGTGTGTTCAGTCTATTAGAAGCACTTTTACTGTATGATCCTCTTTTCCCTCCCCCTGCCCCTTTAAACAAGAAAATGTTCTGGAAGGTGGTATCTATGAGGAAGTGAGGAGAAGTGAGAACATTTGGACATTGTTATGGAGACTGTATAGCTGGCTTATCTCTGCAGCCCTACCCCTCACCCTGCCTTTCTACAGTACTGTAAATACCTTCTGAGAAAAAGAGTGAACAGTAACTCACTCTCTCCCTGTTGACCTGTATTCCTTCTCTGATTTTGAAGAAATCTTCTGTAAACAGTTATTAATGTGCCTCTCAGCTCTAGGCCATTCAAGCACCTGGTTGAAGGGCTCAAAAATATAAGAAACAGTTTTACTGTTTTAGTACAGTATATACATTATTAAAACTATTACAGTTTTAGTAGAACCCTTATGAGAATCACTTTAGAGACGGTGTTTAGATTAAATCAAGAAGGGACCCTTGTAGTTTTCAGAAAATTGTGCCCTTTTGGAACAGAGTGTCGTGTAAAGACCATTTCCTACTCTGCCTTTTATGACAGATTTTAAAAGTTCTTTGACTAGTGGCAGAACTGTGTGTTCTGACTTTCAAGCCAGTATTCTTTTTACAATTCCATTTACTATTCCTCCATACTATGATCTGCCATTTCTCAAAGTAAGGTTTTATTTTTAAATTATTGTGTAGCTGAAGGAAGAAAAACTTCTGGACTGTGGGTGTGTTTTAATTGAAACATATGTAGTTGTCTAATACATATCTATAGCTAGGTTAATGAGTTCTGCCATATGATACATAGTCTAGTTATAATTAGCCATTAAATTGCACTGATGTTTAGAAAATTCAAATTGTATGTACCTTAAAAAGCTAGGCAGTTGTCCTTTTTTACGTCCAAAAATTCTAATTCAGAGTGATCTCACCTTGTTAAATAACTCAGATGATTCAAGGCATTGCTAGAAAATTCATAAATTCCACATATGTGAAATCATTTAAGCATGAGGAGTTTCCTTGAAGAACTTATGAATAGTGAGTAGCTACTATTTAGTGGTTCATTTGACTCTTCTAAGATCCACTATCCACTGGTCCCTTATCGTTACAATAATTTTGAAGAACTAGTGTTTAGAATTTAGGGGTACCTCTTGGCCTAGCCGCTGTGATGCTCCAAGTGGATGTGTTAATTCAAATAATTTACAAGTTCTAGGCTGCCATAGACTTCATTAAATTGCTCAGTAGCTCTCTTACACCCTTTCTTTCCCTGTTTTAGTGATAGCTGTTCAGGTTTTGAGACTTGTATCCACTACCTTGTGTCCCCCCCAGCCCCCACACACATATAAGGTAGAATAAAAGTATAAAAATGAAGTCATCTTGCATGGTCTATCATATGTGTTTGAATCTAGAAATATTTAATTTTACTCTGTAAGTAAAGATGTTTTATGGTTATTGTTTTAGAAAATATCATCTTGAGTATGTTTGATATGTAAAATTTGTAAATTGGTTTCTTACTATGAGGCTTACTAGCTTAATTGAATTTTTGTTTTTTTAGGAATCTATTCGATGGTTAGAAGATGAAAAGGCTCTCCTAGAGATGACTGAAGAAGTAGACTATGACGTAGATTCATATGCTACGCAACTTGAAGCTATTCTTGAGCAAAAAATAGACATTTTAACAGAGCTGCGGGGTAATTCTTCATTTTAGTGTTTGAAATCTGCTATATATATATATGTATATATTTAGTGGGGGGATTTCATACTGCAAGAGGACATCTTAAGTGAAAATTGTAGGTAACATTTAACATGTTTTTAAAGGTATATAGACACACCACAAACACTGGTTTTTCTAAAAAAGGAGCATGGAGAATTATTTCAAGTGCTCTCTAGTCATCTTTTTTCTTTCAGTGTTTTGAAAAGATATGATTATAGAGGAAAAATTTATTTTAAGAAGTTTGTAAATTTTATATACCCATTTGTGTTTTTAGTTTAGTAGGTCAGTGGTTTCAGAATTTAAATCTATTTAGGTGTGTGGGGTGCTCCGCCCACAGAACCCTTCCCTCCACTGAGGATGAGAATAAGTCTACGAAGACATGATCTGCTTGGAGAAGAAAGGTGGCCAAGAGATTAGGAGGCTTCTTACATAGAATGAGGACACAGGCTATGACAAAGCCAAGGGGTGAAGGTCCCTCACCCCTTCTCTATCGTCCCCTAAGTCCTTACCTGTCTCAGGTTGTCCCTCCCTTGAGGAATCTTACCTGTCATTGGCTAACCAGTCATCCGCCCGGGGCCAAGCAGGGTGAAGTATAAAGGGGGCAGAGGCGGTGCCCCTGCCAGGGAGATAAGCTTTGTCTCCTTAGTGGCTTATGGTCCCAAGGTCTCTCACTCAGCCTTAGCTGTGGGGGTTACAGCTCCTGATACCAGACAGGGTGGTTCCCAACATTTAGGGTCATCATTTTGTAGTCTCCTATTTGCATTTCTTCTCAGTATATCTTCTGTCATGTTTTCCCTTTGAACACTGGTTTTGAAAAAGAGGAAGATTTCAAGACAGATATCCTTTCTTCTTTGCTTAGGAAGGGAAGTGTGTGGCTTACCCACATCATGTTTGTTTGGCCTTTTTAATTAACTTACTTGCAGCTTCAGATATGCATTTATTATATGTGCTAATATCTTAGGCATTGGCAAATTAGCTGTCTTTATTTATATGTGAGCCATCATGTGTGTGTGAACATGTAACACAACAGGAAGTGAGACTGAAATTGCTAGTTTTTCGCACCAAACAAGCTGCTTAATTTTTCAAGCCAGGTTCTTTGTAAAGTTGGTTATTTGAGATCATATCCCATGGAGTCAACAGTGACCATTTCCCCAGTTTCAGAATTGTTTTTGCAGGTGTAGAGTTTCTAAAATTTACTTTTATTTTTCATGTTCTTTATACTCAAGCCTGGATTTAAAGTGTTTTGATCATTTTTCTAATCTGCCATAATTCACAAATTTTATTCAGAAGATAGAGCGTAATGTATTCTATTTTTTCTGCTAGTCTGTAGCATTCAATTTAGTTGATTTCCTTAATTTTCTCAGAATTCATGTATTTCAAGCATATCCATTACTTATCAGAAATCACTATCTAGATATTGTATTATTCAGTCCTTTCTTAGAAAACCAGTGTTTTACTATCCAAAAATAATTTTGGTATTAATATAATAAGTTTGGGAGTTACTATATTAGCAGCCACCACATCCAGAATCCTTAAATTCCTTTTTAAATTTTAGAAAAGTCACCTTTAAAAAACATCATTATAGTTTTGAAGAAGGGAAGGAAATTTGTATCTTTTCTTGAGAAGGCCATTACCTTTGCATTATTACGCATGTTAAGTTGGATATTCTGTTGAGGGTTGCCTATGTATTGCGCAACTTGTCAGCATCCTGGTCGCGACTCCAGCTTTCACAATGAGAAATGTCTGTAGAAAGTATCAAATGTTCCCAGAGCGGAGGGGAGGGGCAGAAATCACACTGGTTAAGAAGCACTGTTATAGGACGGTATCTCATCTTTATAGCTGGTATTTGCCTCTGCCAGTTTAATTACCTATTTTTTTGTTCTTCCGTGACTCTGAATCAGTACATGGTCGATGGTATGATCGAACTCTAAGACCAAGAAAGGCATTATCCTGTAATCTCCCTTCCCTCTGCCTTTTACAATCCCTGATAAGGAAACATGATATATATTCTTTTGATTCAAATTACTTTTTAAAAAAGGTAAAATAGTAATTGAGAACAGAAATTTTCTGACATTGAGAGATGTCTATTTTACAGTTTAATAACATTTATAGTTTTCCTTTTGGACATGACTGTACATATTTTACATGTATAGCCTGTCTGCATTCCAAAGGAATGTAAGTGAATTAAAATTGAACACTATAAAATGTGCCATATAACAGAAACCTATTGACAATAGGAAAAAAGCAGATATTTTCCAGGAGTTTATAATGAGACTGTCGGTATACTTGAACATTGTATTTATTACAGTTTTTGGACAAGAAAGAACAAAAAGAAAAATGTTAAGATTATGAAATAAAAGAGCTGACTTAATAGGACCCCTAAAGTTGTATACCGATTGCATGTAACATAATACTTACTTCCCGTTCTTTTCTTTTTCAAAGATAAAGTGAAATCTTTTCGTGCAGCTCTACAAGAAGAAGAACAGGCCAGCAAGCAAATCAACCCGAAGCGACCCCGTGCCCTTTAAATTGGCATTTGCTGCTAACGGATCCCTAGAACCCTCAGTTTTAACACACAAGGTTCAGCTGTAAGGGCCATTTGAGAGTTGGGAATGTAAAGTGTCTGTGGGAAATGTCTCGTCCCTTCGCCTGAATGACATTTCAGTTTTGTGAAACACAACATTGTCTACAAAATGCTTCTAGTTCAGGAGGCACAGCGAAGATTTGGGGATGGTGAAGCATTTTGTTTCATTTACCCAAATAGTGATTTACTTTTAGAGATCCCTGCCAATTTTATTTTCTGTATGATGAAGTAAGATTGTGGACTTGATCCAAGGGTGAATAATAGGGGGCAGCCACCGCATTTCCTAACTCAGTTCAATTTCTGTAGCAAGACTGAGCAGTTTTAAATTCTTTGCGTGCATGCATACCTCATATGTGATTGTACATACCTTGCCCACTCCTAGAGACAGCTGTGCTCACCTATTCCTGCTTTGTGCCTTGACTAAGGCTATTAACCCTAAATTTCTGAAGCACAGCCAAGTTAAATTACATTCCTTATTTGTCCTTGTAAATTACCTTTATTGTGTGTACATTTTTACTGTATTTGAGACATTTTTTTGTGTGTTACTAGTTAATTTTGCAGGATGTGCCATATTATTGAATGGAACTAAAGTCTGTGACAGTGGACATAGCTGCTGGACCACTCCATCTTATATGTAAAGAAATCTGGAATTATGATTTTAAAACATATAACATGTGGATATAATTTTCTTAGCATTTTCTTTGTAAAGAACTAAAATATAAACTAGTTGGTGTATAATAAAAAGTAATGAAATTCTGAGAAGAGTTTTATCTTAGGATAATACATATATATGCAGTGTGTTCCAGTGTGTTATTAACAAGACTAATAGTGCAATTTGCTCCTTACCAACACCATTACTTAAGTTGAAGTGTCCATTAGCACCCTAAAATGTATCTTTTAAATGTACTGTTAAAGGAAATTGGCTTTTGATGCATGGCCATTTACATAATACATTGAAAGTAGTCCATAATAGAACTGTTAGTTTAAGCCAAGTGTAGACAGTATGTAACTCCCTTGAAAAAGAATTAAGCTAAAAAGAGTTGACTTCGCCTTAAAAGGCAGATCTCTAATCCAGGCTCCATCTATTACCTAACATGTGATGTCTCACCGTTACTTGATGAGAATCACCAGATTCTCACCAACAAATTGGTCTAGGGGTATGCTACTTTTTAAATGGTAGCACTTATTTTTACAGATTGCTACTCCAAGGAAGAAAACTGGCCACTTTTCATGTAAATATTTTGTTAAACAATTTATATATCTCTCTAGGAGGTTTCTCTCAGTTTCCTAGGAGAGTCCAGGAGCAGGTTAGCAGCAACAAAAAAATCTCCCAAGAGTACCTACTAGCTCATTCATATGGGCCAAAGGGAAACTATGAATAGAGTCACACGAGCCAGATTCCCTACTTCACTTCATAGAACTCAGAGGGTAGTTGTGGGAAATCCTAACACCATGGTGAAATGCTCCTCTGTAAACTTGAAATCTAGAACAAATGTAGATTTTCACAATGTGCTTATTAATAAATGGAATCTATGGAATGAGTTTAGAGATAATTTTTTTCAATATAATCACCTTTGTTTTGGAAGGGACTCAGGTTTTCTTGCAGCTCTAAGATATGTTCTATTTGTGTTTATTTCAAAGAGAAGAGTAATAATGGAGAATTGTTACTATTGACCTTGCCGAGTCCGTTTATAAAGTTAGTTTTTGAGCCTAACCAACCTTCAAAGGGCAATAAAAAGATTTGAGCTTGTTCATTGTAAAGCACAACAGGTTAGTCTTTATTGTTTAAAATAGATGGGTTAGACCTCTAGAAAGTCCCTTTATATCCAAATTTGCTGCCTTATCCTGTAATGGCTTCATTCTGACCAGTAATCAAGGTATATATAAACAACCAGTTACTAGCAAAGATCTTGCTGGTGTAATCCAGTCCTTCAGCTTTACAGATGAGAAAACTAGAGGTCAAAAAAGGGACAAACTCAGCAGTTACTAGGGTGGAGAGGAAAAGCTGAATTAAATCTTAAAAATTGCCAGTAAGAAGAGATAATACAAGGGAATTTTGAGAAGTAGTTTTGTGATATTTTTAAAAACCTACTCTTAAGTATATTTAATATTTATATAGCAAAAGTAGCTTGATGCAGCTATTTAAGAAATAATTTGTTGGATCTGGATTAAACAAATATTCTTTACCTTCTCAGTCTTGAAAACTGATATCACTATTAATAAGTAGCTAAGAACATACAATATTTTCATTGTATAGAGATATTTTAATATATCACTTTGAAGTCATATTTTAAAAAAAATCTGTTTAGGTAAACGATTTCCCTTCTAGGTTTACTCAGTATACTTTTGTTAAAATACTTTGGAAACACTCCTTCTGTTAAGTTAGGCATTAAGAAAGCCAAATATCAATGAAGATACTTTTATTTCCTTATATAAATAAAATAACATGTTTAATTCTTTAACAAAGTGCATTAACAATTAGTACATTGGTAATGACTAAAACATAGTAGCTAATTAAGACTTGGTTATGACATCTATTGAAATTCTCAACCATACATTTCAGAAATACCCTAAAATAATCATCCAGAAGTTAGAGATATACTTGTGGGAAAAAGACTGGTTGAGGTTTTTTGCTTGTTTTGAAGTCAAAGGGCAGACATTTTAAATTTTGCATCGTTTTGATTTACAAAACCTTTGGAAAATTTCATTAAACCTATGACTATCTCCCCAAGAAAAAAAATTGTATCATCTTATATTTCATTTCACACTGTAGTTGAGCCTCCTCATTTACAGGAATCGTGCTCAGAAGTAATACGTCTGGCACCACATGGCCTCAGCTGATGCAAGCTTTCCCAAAGCCCCTGTGTATATGCTGATGTTACAGGCTAGCTAAAGAGGTAAGCAATGAAAGAAGTTGTGTAGGGTAAACAAAACAAAATTAAAGCAGTTTAAGAAAACTGTTTTTGCTATACACAAGAACAACAAGGAAGTGGTATGGTGGGCACGTGACTCAGTTAAGCGTATTTTAACTTACACCTGAGGGATAAAGACCTAAAGAGCTGAAAGTCTAAAGAGGTCCTCACAGTAATATATACCACAGAAAGTAGAAAAGTAACATCTTCATAAAACGTGTTAGAAATGGTAAATTGAAGGGTAAAGTTGTGCGTGTCTGCGGCTCTTGAACTTGAAGATAATTATGTATAGATTGGCTTCTGGCCTATGTAAGATACTAAAAACAAACCCAAACCAAAAAAATTTGGGTACTTAAACTGACTTACTTAACTACCTTAGAAATGCAGAGTAATAACTGGTAACAACAGTAATATTAAAAAATTGTCACAGTGTCCCAATGGAGGAAAAGCATCCTTCAGCTTCTCAAATTATTAAAAACATACAGTTCCAGTTTCTTTTGAGTTTGAAAAATTCTGTCTTCCAGACCTAAGAAAAATGGATACCTTCTGCATTGAATCCATGTAGTAATCTGAAAAAAAGAAACCAAAATGAGATGGTATTGGAAAGCTCATTTGTAGCGCATAACTGCATATAGTTCCCATACTATGAATTCTAAAACACGAACACATCAGCAAACCTCTGAAGCTTACCCACAACCAACACTAGTCATCAAAGGCACATTATTCATCAACAAAATTTATAAGATATATATATTGGTTAAGACTACATTTTTGGTGCTTTCGTCATAGCCTGTGTCTTGAACTTACCTCTTACTATCCCAGACCTAACAGGTCATTAGTACTTGTTTCAACATGGTAAGGGAACAAGAACCTATTTGGAATTAGGGACAGGAGACAGATGAAGAGCTAATTACGTATGTCTATTCTTTCTCTGAGCTCACTGTTACACAAGTTCAAATCTGTATACCTATATACTTAGATCCTAGTTAGCAAACTACATATGCTTACAAGCTGTGAAGAAATTTGGTGAGAATGAAGGGAATTGAGATGAAATATTTCTATTTAGACTTGAGATTATTTTCAGGATGACTCGTAAGGATAGGTCAAGATTGGTTAAAATGTCTTAAAAAAGATAGGCACTTAAATATTTAACTCCTAAGATTAACATCTAACAAAGAGGAGTATTACTAACCTGCCAATATAAAATACAAACCCTATTTGTCTCAGTTACATAGAACTGTTTCCAGCTTAAAAAAGTGAAACCTTTCAATGACTTTTGTAACAATCTACCCTCATTCTTTATTCAGTCCCTAGAATATGGAAGCTTTAAAAATGAATTAGCTAAAATGGCAAAAACTTCTGCAGTAACTGGTAGTTTATTAGTTAGGAAATCAGTGTTAAGTGATTAAAAACAGTGAGTACAGGTTAATAATTACCTGGGTAATTGAAGCCTTACCCTGCTTTCATGAGAATTACTTGTATAATTCAACAGAAACAAATTGGTGTACACTGCCCAGATAATTACAAAACAAGTAAAACAAGTAACACTATCACTAAACCTGTTAGAAATGATAACCAGGTATGTTTGTAACTGAAACTATTTTGTGCCTAGTGTCTATTTAACAATAGCTATACCCAATAAAGAATAACTAGAAGTCCAACTACAAGTATTTTTATTTTAATCCTGTCTCACAAGCTGTGTGAAGAGACAAACTATTATAGACCATGAATGGAGTTAGGGGAGGGGGCCAGAGGAGAGGAGCACACACACCACAACACACACAGACTTAGAGGCTATCTCCAGGCTAGGACTGTTATTTACTACTGTTCTTAAAGAACACGTTCATTCCGCTGCAGCTAACTAGCCTCCATCTTCTACACCAAACACTGTTCTGTGCCATGGAAGTGCTATGCAATAACTCCCAGGTAGCACCTCACACCACTTAAAAGCCTTTAAGTTTCTAATCTGAAGGTGTCACAGTGAAGAAGTGTAAACACGTAGGAAAAGAAAAATGTAATTACCTGATAAAGTCATCTATGTCCATGGAGCGGGCCCGCTTGTCGCTGAAACCTGTGCTGGTTAGGATCTTCTGTATTTTATCTGCTATGCTGAAATCTTCTGGTATTATCTATCAAGATTCAGAATAAATGAACAACATATCTTTAATGAAGTCACCTTGACTCTTTTTTCTGTAGTTCAGTAAGTGATAAAGTAGTTACCATCTGTCCATGACAGTTTAGAAAGCCTATTTGTGCAGATAAAACTTGGATCTCTAAGTGATCTTCAGCACATACCAAATACTTGGAAGACCTTGAATTAATTAATCAAGTATATTGCCCTCTTTCTTAAATGTTCTGTTAGTTTTGGGCTTCACAAAGTACTTTGTAACAAAATAATTACAGCTGTAAACTAAATTTTAAAGCAGTTCTTACTCCTTTAAAATAACTCTTTTTCTTGGCACAAATCTTATATACCAGCTTAATTTTTCTCTAAGAGATGGCCTCTCTAACCCTTAAGGCATATTAAATATATCATACTTCACCTTTTTCATCCAAAGATTTTTTTTCATCTAGCTTATTATTTTCTTAGGCAATGTTGAATGACTTTATCCATAAAAGAAAATGGAGGTAGCAATGTGATATAGTAAACCATCTGAGTCCAAAAACAAGGAAATTTGCTTTTATCTATCTGCCCTGCTTAGCTAATTTGAAAGAACTAGTAAGTTACCACATGGCCACTACATGTGGACATGCATATGTGTGCTCACAGACACAAAACTGGTTAAAGGAAATGCCGCACTGGTGGTGATGCAGAGGCATGAAGCTCACAACCAGAAATCCAGTCAGTCTATATTTTAATCAATATCCAGGTATTAAAAAGTTACTGAGAAACATAATTTTATAATTGCTATATGAGCAACAAACAAGGGATGGTCACAATTATTTTAAGCTGAGCAAGCTGCACATGCCTAGACCTCTGAGGAAATGATTCAGTTGAATCTATGGCTAAAAGAACTATCCATGGTTAAAGAAGATAGTGGAATAATGGAGGTTGCTTAGACTTGTTCCACAGAATATACATCTTTGGAGTATACAAAATTAATCTTTTAATGATAGATGAAAAGAAATAAGGACATTTTAAAACTCAAATGATTGAAATCACGAACATCTTATACTTACAGTATTATGGACTGAACAGTGAATTCTGTAGTTTTTTTCCAGTAGCTGCTGTACTGCACTTGACCTGTAGCATAAATGACATCACTATTATTATCATAAAATTAGAGATTATTAATAATTTCCTTTCCGTTTATGGTAAGATTAAATCTATGTTTCATATGGTGAAATAAACTAAAAAAGGTGTTGAATACTTAAACTTACAAAATAATTACAAACTACATAGTTAACATTTTAAAAGTAACGTCCTAATGAACATCTCAAATTTTTAAGTAAATTCTAGACTCTCCACAAAACATCACCACACGCACACAAAATCTAAAATTATGGCTTTCACCTCTTTTACCCTTAGGCCCCAAAATATTGTTACATTTTCCTAAGTTAATAAAATTAAATGAATCAAACGCAAATGTGGAAGGGGTTCGTCGTCATGCCGTTTTTCCAGGGAAAAACTAGGCAGATGTGTGGTCATTTTTTATTTTCCTGTTTTACCAAAAAAACTATTATAGCTGATCTAATTCCCCACTCCAGGAACTTTCTTCATTAAATTCTCCTGCCTCCCAAAGTACAAAGTCAGTTAGAAAGGTGAAGTGCATCCAGACGTGGACAGTTGTTCTGCTCAGGCGATCTGTTCAGGGAGAGGACCCAACCCCAGCAGCGAGCACGGTGTCGGGAGCACAGGTCCGGAGCACGCTCTAAATGAGTGGAACACTTACTTAAACGCAGCAGACAGTGTCTTGTTTTTCCGAACAAAGGTGATCCTTACCAGGCCATCCCATTCCTGAGACAGATGGATATTTTCTTAGAAAACATCAAACTTTTTTTCTAGGGCTGAGAGAGACTATTTTGTCTGTTTTTTAATATAATATATAAAACTGGAAGCAACCTTCTAGAGTGATAATGTTACCTATCTTGATTTGGCTGACACATATGCAAAAGTAAGATGTATACTGTTTTGAACTTTCGTACACCTTACTGAATATTTTATCCTCAATTCTAAAAATCAGAAAAAATACATAACTGTTCCACATCTGAACAAAAAACAACGTGGCATTTTGGCACCTAAAGGCCATCTGTCATATGGCCTTTTCAAAACACATGACTCAGAACAAACATGATTCAGAATGTATCCTGGGCAACATACCTAACCTCCTTGGAAAGGGTAACTGACAAAGCACTCCATTTACCACCAGTTATTGACAACAAAAGCAATCACGTTTTTATTCAAAGTGATTGCAGTAAGGCTTTACATCAGGTGAACGGGCTTCCTTCTCTTTTTAAATAGCAAAAGCAAGAATTCTGACGAAAAAGTGTTACCCATAATACTATAACAACTATTTTCACTTTATTGTGTTTTCCAAGTCTTATTCAAATAGAGACACGTTTTCTGCAGCTATAATCTTTAGGAAAATGCAACAGCATTCTAATCCTTTTCCCATTTGCAAACATTTTCTGTGTACTTTTGTGACCCTCACAACTATCTTGACTCAAATTACTCCCTCTACTCCATCAGAGGGATGCATCATGATTAACATTTTCCAGTGAGGATATTTAGGTTCAATCAGTATTTTTCTGTTGCTATAGACACACATCTTACACTTTGGACATTTTTTTCCTCTTTATTGAATGACCTAGTATTTTAACCTCACCTGAAAATTGATAGGTGGCGGTGGATTCTTAGGTTCTATTCTTACAACACTGGATTCCACCTTTGGTGGTGGTCTGAAGTTATTCTTCCCAACCTGTTAACCAGAAAATGTTTAAGTAGTTCTCTCAAAAATAACTAAGTAATCAAATACACTCTCCTCACAGAAGACACACCCAAATGCTCAAGGACGAGTTGTCACATTATTTCAATAACGGTCACTTACTTTCATTAAATGGTCCACACGTGCTAACAGTTGTGTATTAATTGAGAGTCTGCAGTACAACTTATCTCCAGGTTTTGCAACCAGTCGGAGAGCAAATTCTCTTTGAAACATAAGTATTGCACATCTAAAAAGACAGCAGAAAGGAATAAGGAAAATGGTTACTTTCAGCTATAAATGTGTTTGCATTTCGACAGGTTTTCTGGGGCAGGAAACAGAGCAAAACAGTATCTACAGTTCATGGTAATTAGTCCAGCTGGTGAGAAAGTAGGAGGATACTCAGCCTTAGCTTCATTACCACAACATGATCAGTTGGCTTTTTCATTTTATAATGGCTGCACCTCTCACCCTTTGGTAATGTAAGCCCTCAATGATCAGATGAGAAAGTATTTCAGATCAGCACCAGTCTATATCACCATTCTAGGAAAACAAAACTCAAACAAACAAAATTGGCTCAGTAGACAAATTCCCTGCAGGAGTAACAAACACCTTCACAGAAGTGCTAAAGAAGGTTATGAAATCAGTGTTGTCCAGATTAAGGAATGTGGGTTTTTGTTTTTTTTTTAACTCAGCAAGCCATGGGAAGACTTTCGGAGGCTCTTAAACATAAGATTATCTTCAAAGCTGGGATTTGACTTTCAAACTTTTTTGACTATAAGTCACACTAATAAATACATTTGATATTGCAACCTAGGTAACACAAAAAAACTTTTGTAAAACTATAATCACCTGGGTCACATGTACTTAATATCCTTAGATATGTTCTATTCCGTGTCATTTAAAAAAAACAAATTGTGACCCACTGAGTTTATTTTATGAACACTCAGGGGTTTTTGACTTGCAGTTTGAAAGCAACTGGTTTGGACTATACTGGAGACACCTTAGGAGACCACTGCAATTGTGTAGACATAAGGCAATGAAAAGTGTAACCTGAGTTAATGGCAAGGGGATGAGAAACTAGGGAAAGGTCCTCTGGTCTCAGAAGCGGGACTGACACCACACTTCCCCAAATAACTGTCAACTGAAAAAAGAGAGAGAGACCTCCACACAAATGGATATTTTCTACAAAAACAAATTGTCCAGTAGTTTTTCAGTTGAACTAAGTTTCATTTTTGGCTGTGTGTGTTCATGGCCTAAACCGTCAATCTTTCTAAGATTTGGCAGTCACTTTGGTAGTTGTCACAAACCTGAAAAAAGGCCGGTGCAGCAACAGCTTGAAGACAAAAGGAGAAGAGATCTGTAAGAGAGAATTAACTGGTTATTTCTGGGAAAGACACACCAGAGAAACATTTAATATAATGCTCCTGACAATTTGAAGACATACCTGGTAAGGCAAATTTGCCACACAAGCATCAAAGAATGGCAAATCGGTTTTCAACACGTCACCCACCATTACTTGCAGTTTGCTGGCCAGAGGTCTGATAAAAACAAGAACATAATTAAAAAAGAATATTGTTTCATGAGACTGAGATGCACTTTAATTCTATTATGAATACTCACGTGCCCTGAACTCTTTTGTGAAGTTCAGCTACTAGCCTTGGGTCAAGTTCACAGGCAATTACCTTAATTGAGAAAAAAAAAACTTTTTTAGAGTGATTACGGAGTATAAAACTTTTCTTATCTCAATAGTAAACCTTATAGGATTTATATGAATGAAACTTCTTTTCCCCAATTCTATCATCAATATTCCTTCAATTGTTCTCTACCACTTCAAAAAAAAAAACACCACCCAGAAATGTGGTAACCTAGAGAGTTTGACCCAAATAATTGACAGAATTATCATGTTCATCAGGCTCTGTGGTTTGGAACTGAAGATGAAAAAATATACAAGAAGTCTGTGCAGCAAATGTTCTAGACATGTAGATGTCTTGTATGCAGAGGCATTCAAGACAACTTCTGCTAGAATGAATACATCATTTCTCTTACCTATTAAGTCCATAGTAAACACAATAGATAATTTCTGAAGCAAATGTAAAGTGATACGAGGTAATGTTGAAATTGTAATTTTAATGCACTATCAGCTGAGGTTTCATGTCTTGCAGGAAGACTGTGTCTACGGAATAGATATATGTGCTGCTTAGTCTGCCTGTCTCTCAGTTCCTCTCTGCAGCCTTCCCTGTGCCCCATAGAGTGATGCAGACCAGCTCCCTTGCCCTTTGACTTCTGGTTGGGATTAGCCAGTGAGAGGAACCGGCATCATAGGGCACAAGGACAGAGGCTGAATTTTTCCTAAGGCCTGCCCATGCCTTGCAGGTGTTCTGACAGTGGCCTCTGTTCAGTGGCTCAGTAACACAGTTCCCTCCTCCTCTTGCCCCTTGAGTCCTTTGAATGGTAACTGTTACCTGCTGTTGCTAGTCCCTGGGTCTTTCACTAATGCTTACTGGTTCCTTTTAACCCCATTCCCACCATTACAAAAGTATCAACTTGTAAGTAGTCTCTTCATTAAACTCTCTTCAAATAAGTGCTTTAAAATGAGCTACCTGCTTCCACCAGAGGACACAACAATGGTTCCATCTAATTGGACACTGGGTCAGCCATGAGACAAAGAAGGTACCAGCAGCGGTCGGGTGGCACCCTAAACTCAGGGGCCTGTGCTGCAGCTCTTCAGATCTCCACCAAAGTTCTAGGTTATGATAACTCCAACCTTCTTACTTGCTTCTCTGAGCCCAGAGATGATAGCTGCTCTTTGCAATTATTAATCTTGGAATACCTCAAAGCTCTCATTTTATTCTTTCAGTCCTGTAACAACCATGTAACCAATTCCTATATTAATTTTCCTGTACTGAAATATCTAATGTGGTTTCTCTTCTCCTGATTGATATAATCTCATATTTTCTTTTAATCCATTTTTATTTTTTTAAAGCTGTTATTTATTTTTAGAGAAAGAGGAAGGGAGGGAGGAAAAGAGGGAGAGGAACATCACTGTGAGAGACAAACCTGGACTGGCTGCCTCTTGCATGTGCCCCAACGAGGGACTGAACCTGCACCCAGGCACGTGCCCTGACTGGAATACAACTAGTGACCTTCTGTTTTGCGGGATGACACCCAACCAACTGAGCCACTCTGGTCTGGGCTCTTTTAATCCATTTTTAAAAATTAAGATATATTTAACATATAATGCTATATTAGTTTCAGATATACAATATAATGATAACATGTATATAGTCCAAGATAAGTCTAATTAACATCCATCACCACACAGTTACAAATTTTTTGTTTTATGATGAGAACTTGTAAGATCTGTCTTAGCAACTTTCAAATATACAGTCCAGTATTGTTAACTAAAGTCATCATGCTGTCCCTTACATTCCCAGGTATTTTATAACTAGAAGTCTTTTGACTATCTTTACCCATTTCACCCATATTTTCTCAGGTAAAGTTTCTAGCAAAAGATCAAGAATTACTGTTAAAATAACAGCAATTAATTAAAAGAGATATATATTTGTAAACCACCTGAGCTTACTCAGATAGTCATTTCTGATATCAAACATGAAATCCTTTTTACCTTTTTTGCCTTTTCTAGCAACTTAACAGTCATATTGCCAGTGCCAGGTCCAACTTCCAGCACCACGTCAGTTGGTCGTAAGGCAGCCTGCAAATAAAACCACCAAACCAGCACTTTAGTTTCTCTGGCACAACTGAACACATAACTTATTTTACATCTGAGTATCTTTGCTAGAAAGTGCTCAGTTAATAGATTTTATTTTAACTCCATTTTTAGGAATTCCTTAATAATATCTATGCTTAAGAAAATTATCAAACATTTGGTGCAAATGGAAAACTGACACCTATCCTAACTTGGGGCAACTTTAGGAGTCAGAAAAGCAGAACAGCCCTGGCTGGCTAGTTCTATTGGTTAGAACATTGTCGGATACACCAAGGTTGTGAGTTTGATCTGGGTCAGGGTACATACAAGAATCAACCAATGAGTGCGAAGTTGGGTGGAACAACACATCTGTATTTCTCTCTAAATCAAGGAATAAATTTAAATTTTTTTTTTAAAAAAAGCAGAACAGCAGTTTTTTCTGGGATTGGCATTCTACTTTCTACCTTGAAAATGACTTCAATAGCATCTTGTTACCAACTCTGTAATTAATAAGTTTAAACTGGAAAGGACTCTATATAATGACCTTGCCTGAGAATCATAGCATGCTGTACCAGGATTTCTCAAGTCTCAACCCATGTATGTTTTCAGGGATGTAGGAGTAACCAGAAATTGTACACAGCTACGGTATTCTGGGTCCACAGCTATTATCCATGAACCAAAAATGTTAAAAAGCTAGGTCTACACTCATTTTGTAAATAACAGAAAGTCCAGATGAAATCCTTTAATTGTGTAATGCCCTTTCCACAGCTCCAGGATTCCTCCTTTGTAGCCATAAAAGTAATCTGCACCTCCTATATTTCGTGTTCTAGCAACCAATCGTCCATAACAATATGGGAACATCAGTACCCCATACAGGAGGAATACACCAAAGAGTTTATATGTGTAACAGGATTATATAAGTTTCCTTGGGTGGGGGGGAATAAAATTCCTAAGATGTTAGTTTAGACATATCTTTAGGCTCTGGAGTAAATAAAAACTAATAGTCATAGATGATGCCTAGAAAAAAATGATTGGGGAATAATAATAATCTGGAATTAAATGTCCACCTACAAAGTAAATAACCTATAGAAAGAAAAAGAAGTTGGGGCCAGTAGAAATCCAGACCCACAGAATGACGCAAATCATGGCAAAGACAGTTTGTGAAACCTACACAATTCTTCAATTAATTCACCAAGTCTTTATAGAGCATCTATTTTGTGCTAGGCATTCTCTCAGTGCTTAAATATTCCTAATAATAATTACCCAATAACTACCTCCTTTTCCTTTTCCACACCCACCTTATCGATAATGCTGTTGACAATGAGAGGATTTTTCAAAATGTGCTGCCCTATCCCTGTGTTGAACATGAGTCCTGAAAGAAAACATGAAACAGCCTTAATTTCCCAACTAAAATTCGATAGGTATTAGACCGTCCCAGATAAGAAAAAGCGGGTTGGTGGACAAGAAGCATCAACGTCATACTTGGAGCCGGGACTGACACACTAAATCCATCCTTTTTCTGGAAAAGAAGTCAGAGACAGCGAGCAGGGCCCACAGATGACGCCCCGAAATCCCCAGACCTTCGCGCTCCAGGAGCACGGGTCCGGTCCGGATCCACTGCCCCGGCCTAGAACTCCGTCCGCGCCCCAGGTTTGGTCCTGCCTGAAAACCCAATCCGACCTCAGCTCCCGCCTGGCTGCCTCACCTCCGGCACTCTTCAGCTCGCGACGCTGTAGCAGACGATCGCGGCGGCGGCCGCTCGCCCCTGACTTGATCTTCGGCATCTTCGTTGCCAGCCGACCCAAAAGTCCTGAAAGTCAGCGAGGACCAAAGCTGGCCACTCAAATCTCCGCACCACGTGGGTCTCAGGGCCCGCACCAACCACACCACTCACAGCTCGGTGGGGTAGGTGAGCGGGGGAGGAACCGCCCCTAGTTCTCTCTGGGCTCCGCCCCCAGGAAAAGGACCCACCTTGGAGCCCAGTGGCCTCCGGGCATTGTAGTCACGAGCTAGAGCTTTGGGAGCCTACAGATCCCAGAAGACACCGCGATACCAATTCTGGAAGTTTGGATTAGCCAGTTTGGAAATGGGGTGTGGCCTGTCTCATTGAGCACAGTTAATTAACTAGGTTTTGGTCTGGTACTGTCGAGTTTGTAGAGGAGGTTTAAGGTATATAATGCGATTATACCTTTGGGATTCTTTATCAGGCCAGGTTTTGGGATCAGTGATGTCCGAAGGTTCTTTTCTGTCACGTATTTCGCTCCGGTTTCCCAGCACACGATGGAGTGGGAAACCCAGGAGCTTGGGGCGAGGTGTTTGCTGCTTTAAGGGAGTGAGTTCTCTGCTTCTTGCGTTGTGGCAAGTAATTCCGAGAATGTAGTAAGTGTCTAGTTCCACTATAGCTACTAGTTGCTTCACTTCCTTTTGTGCCACGCCATTCTCCCTAAGCGTTTTATTGAGCTCCAGATGTTTATTAAATACTGCTTGGTGGTGGAGATTCAAAGTTAAACAGGAAACTGCTCTTCTCAAAGTTTATTCCATCGAGAAACAAACAAACAAAAAATCCTAAATTCAGTACATGTGGTAGTTGGTATGCACTACGTATTGTGATGTGCCAGTGTATCCCACCATATAAGCTCATGAGTACAAGGCCAATGTCTGGTTTGCCTGCCTGAGTAGAGGCTTCAGTTTTTAATATTTCTGTGTGTAACCTATTTTTCTTGAAGACGTTTTTTCTGTCATTACCAAAGCTGACTCTTCCCTGTGCAATTAATTGCGTGCATTCCTAAGCCTTGGTCTTTCTTTGCTGTAATTTTAACTCAAGATTCATATACCCTAGTAGCATCTTCAACTACCTACTTCATTCTGGAGAATCTAGTGTGCCAGCCCCTGTGTCAAATGTTAGGAATAAAAAAATGAACATGACACGATCCCCGCTTTTAAAGAATCTCCTGTCAAGATGGAGACATGCAAATAATTACAATAATAGAAACATTTCCTCATCACTTAGGTGCCAGGTGCTTTAGTTACATTATCTCATTTAACACTTTCAATTCTCTGAAATAGGTCTTATGTCCATTTGACCGATGAAAAAAATGAAGGACAAATTTAATACCTTGCTGAAGATCATACAGTAAAGATGACAGCTTCGTCTTGAACCTAGGTCTATATTCCAAAGACTGCTTTTAAAAATGTACGATCATAGCACTATGGTTAATACGTGAAGAAATTGTCATTATTTTGACATTTTCAAAATAAAATATCTGAGCCAGTCTTAATTTTATTTTTTATATACAGTGTTCCCTTTTTTTAAAAAGGTTTTTAAATATATATGTTTTTATTTTTCTGAGCTGAGTCTTTAAAGGACAAAGTTAGCCAAGAGCTCTTGTGGCTCAGTGGATTGAGTGCCAGTCTGAGACCCGAAAGGTCGCTCAGGTGGATTGTGCCTGGGTTATAGGCTGGGTCCCCACGAGGGGGCGTGTGAGAGGCAACCAATTGATGTAGGTCTCACACATTGGTGTTTCTCTCCTTCTCCCCTTCCCTTCTCCTTTTTCTTTAAAAAAAGTTAGCCAAGGGAAAGTTGGGACTTCAAAGGGAAAAGCACTAACAAAGCTTAGATATAAAAATGTTTAAGAAAGGAAAAGAAACTTGGTATAGCTGAGGAATAAGTAGGTAAAGTAAACAGGGACTTACTGTGAAGGAGCTAAAATGCTATGCTAACCACTTTGCTCTCACTGTGCTCCTCTAGGCTGTGAGAGCTGCTGGAGACCACACAGCAGTGTAAAGAGACATCCATGGGCTCCATATTTATCTGGGTTCCGAACCCTGCCTAGCCCCTCTTCTTGAATTCCCTCTAATCTTCCTCTTCTGTTCACTATAAAGGATCTTTAAACCTTCTTAATTCTTCTCATTCCTCCTTCCTTACCATCTCTCCAGTTCCTCAGCAGAAGACTTTGCCTTTTATGTCACAGAAGGAATGCAAGATCACCTTAAGGACATTCTCGTCTTGCCAGATCACTGTTCTACACAGTGAAAGTGCAGTGATGAGCAAAATAAAGTGAAGCTTATATCCCTGGGAGGAAAAGCAGAGATTATAACCTTGGCTTGAGTAACCCAGTTGGTTAGAGCATCGTCCAGTACCCAAGGTTGCAGGTTATATCCCTGGACAGGGCTCATACAAGAATCAATCAATAAATGCATGGATAAGTGGAACAACAAATCTCTCTATCTCTCTGTCTATCTCTATCTCTCTCAATATCAATAAATTTAAAAAATTAAATAAAAAACAGACATTATATCCGGTGGTGATAAGTGTGAAGAAAAAAGCAAAGCAAAGGAGAAAAAGACCAACAGGATGGGTGGGAGAAGCAATTTTGACAATAAGAATGGAAACCAAATGATAACTTTTTAGAAAAAGACTTTATCTTTAGAGAGAGGGGAAGGGAGGGAGGGAGAGAGGGAGAGAAACATCAATGTGTGGTTGCTTCTCCCACACCCCCCACTGGGAACCTGGACTGTAGGCCAGGCACATGGCCTGACCAGGAATTTAACCTGTGATGCTTTGGTTTGCAGGCTGGCACTCAGTCCACTGAGCCACACCAGCCAGAAAATGTAATTTTCTTTTTGAGTAAAATAGCAAGATCATCCTGAAAGGGTCACATGTTTTAAGCCACATAAAATAAATCACTGAGGTAAATGTACATATTTAGTTTATGCAGAGACTAAATTGGTGTTTATCTAGCTATGAACCTTGAGCCACCTGCAGAATTGTTCCCCCCAAAATTTATAGGTTGAAGCCCTAATTGTGAAGTGCCTCACAATGTGACTATATTTGGAGATAGATCTTTAAAGAGATGAGTAAATTAAAATGAGCTCTTCAGGGTGTGACCTAATTCAATATGACTGGTCCATGTGAAAGGAGGAGATCTGGACAAAGAGACACCTGGGGTGTGGGTGTACAGAGGAAAGACTATGTTAGAACACTGTGAGAAACAACAGTCTGCAAGCTAAGAGGAGAGTCCTGAGGCAAAACTAACTCTACTGACAACTTGATCATGGATTTCTAACCTTCAAAGCTGTGAGACAATAAATTTCTATCATTTAAACCACCCAGTCAGGGGGATTTTGTTATGGCAGCCTCAGTAAACTATGTAATGTAGAATGTAACAAAAATTCCCATTTCCAAGCTCCACCTTAAACATTATGGATCAGAGTGGGATTGGACCCTGGCCAGTACAGTTTAACAGACCCTCTAGGAGATTCTGATTCACAGGGAAAGTGGGGGATTCACTACTTTCTACAGTAAGATAACAAATGATAAATTTCTACAGAAATGAAAAGAGATGGGGAAGACTACCATCATCAATACAGGGAAACTGTTGTAATAATTGGGATCACATTATTTTGGCTGAATTTCATCCTTTTTTTTTCTGATGGCCAAAGCAGCCTTCAGAAGTGAGACAATATTGGATGCACCATGGAGCCGTGAGTCCTAGGGAATTGTGTGATGCTGGATATGAGCTGTGGTTAAGAAATAAGCATTGGAAATCTATGCTGGAATGTATTAGTTATCTTTGTAGCTACAAATGGCTTAGTAATTATAAAAATAATTTCATGCTTCTCTGGTTCATGTTTATATTTTTTATTAATTAAAAATAATTATTTTTCAATTTTGGTGTGCACAAATGATTCATTGCCATTCTTTCAGTTTTAGGTTGTTAATAAAATGATCTTAACTTCAAAAAGAATATAGCATTTCCTTTGGTAGGAAAAGAGGCTTATTTACATGCACAGCATGCTTGAAATAACATTTTAAATGTGCCAGGGGATATAATGAATAAAAATAAAATATTGTGAGAGAAGCCAATGTTTCTTTAATGTAGCATTTGCTTCATCAGCTTTCTGCTTTCTCGTCTCAATTCTCAACCATTTTGGGAGGAAAGCACTGAATTTATACTTGTATTAATATTTTCAATATATTCTGAACACATCAAATGATTTAATTTAAATTGTTTTAAGTGTTTGTTTGCCATTTTCTCCAAAGAACCTAAGAATATGAGGCTGTAACAATGAAATGCAGTAATATGAGATTATCCAGTTGTACATGTTTGTTTTGCACACAGTAAGTGACTAGATTATACATTCATAGTAGCTGAAGCAAGGACCTCCAAGTGAATCTTAATTTGGGTCCTGAAATTTGCGTAGGCCAAATTTTGCATATGTGCATTTTTCTAAGTTACAGCTTTCCTTAGATTTTTCAGAGGATCCATTATCCTAAATAGAAAAAACTTATTCTTGTAGGCCAATTTCTTCACTTTAATTCAAATTTAGCTTTTTTTTTTTTAATTACATGTTCCTTATAGCCTTGTTATTCAATATGTGATCTTTGGACCAGCAACAATGGCATTAACTGGAATCTCATTAGAAATGAAGAATTTCAAGCCCCACGTCACACCAGCTGAATCAGGATGTGTATTTTAAAAAGATCCCCATGTGATTTTATGCACACTTAAAATTTGAGAAGTACTACCTTACCTTTCAGTAAAATCAGAACATACAATTAAGCCAAAAAAAAAAAGAAAGAAAGAAAGAAAGAAAAAAATCCCACAATATCATCCAACTAATGACAAATCCTGTTAACATTTTGGCATATATTTATTTCCCAAAAGGGAACCATCCTGAACACAGTTTTGTAACCACCTCTTTTTGCAATGCATTGTTAATGAGTTAACATGTCAACAAAAACATGTCCACATAATTTTTAATGGCCAATTTGTATTTTATTACATATGCATTCAGCATGATTTAATCATTCCTTTCTTGGCGGTTATTTAGGTAAATTTTATGTTTTTACTTTAAAATCAGGCCTGTGGGCCTGGGCCGTGTGGCTCAGCTGGTTGGGGCGCCATCCTGTGGTGGGTTCCATTACAGATCAGGACACAGGACTAGGTTGCAGGTTCCATCCAGGGTCAGAGCATAGGAGAGGCTGCTTCTCTCTCATGTTTCTCTCCCTCTCTCTGTCTCCCTCTCTTCCCATCTCTTCCAAAACCAATAGGCATGTTTGGGGTTAGGATGAAATATAAAACAAAAACAGCCCTGTGTGATGAACATTTTTATAGTGCAGGACTTATGATGGATGGCCCGTTTTAAATCTTAACACAGCTACTTACTTGCTGTGTGACCTTAGGCAGGTTACTTGACATCTCTGTGCTTTAGTTTCTTTATCTGTAAAATGAGCATAATAAAAATCAGCTCATAGTGTTGACTTGAGGATTAAAATACATGATTCATATAAAGATCTTAGAACTGTATCTGGCACATGTTAAATACTCAATAAATGTTATCTACTATTACCTCTGTGAACACTGACGTATTTCCTCACAACTTCATTCTAAAATTAAGAAAGCTTAGGTCACTAAGCTAGTTAGCAGCAGAAGCAGGGAGAACTGGACTTCCTTTTTAATCTGTCCACCCTTTCTATCGTTTTGGAGTAGAGTGCCCACCAAGTTTAGGATACTAAAACATAAATTAGTTAAAGTAGGATTATTTTAATAACTCTTCTCTGCAGAGACGGGTCCGTAAAACAATGAAGTTTAGCAGCTAATACCTAGAATAGGGAAAGGAAAATGGTTGTGATTCAAGCTTCAGTCAACCCAGGAGACAATTGACTTTTCCGAGAGAAAGGAAACCCCGACCTATGGTTTCTATGGTTACGGCTCCCGCGGAGTCCAGGCTCTGGCTTTCTATACTGCGCAAGTGCATACTGCCGATTTAGCCATCCGGCGCCTTCATTTTCGAAGGGAAAGCCCCTCCCTCCTCTTCCCCGCGTCGTCCTATCGTCGCATTCCTTTGCCTATTCCTAGAGCTGTGGGAGTCTGTGACGCAATATGTGAGCGTCCGCATCGTTTAGAGCTGCGACGCTGAACATGGCGCGTTCCTAGAAGCGGCTTTCGGCATCAGTAGGCGGCGGCGTGTAGACAGCAAGCGTGGGGCGCGGGACCAACCGACGCCGCTTCGTGTTGGGGAGTCGAAGCAGGAGAGCTGGGCTATACCGGACGGAACCAAGCGGTGAGGCCCGGGCCTGAGAGCCCAGAGCGCACGCGAGTGAAGGAAGGAGTGGGTTGGGCAGCGGAGATCTGCGTGGCCAAGAAGGGACGTGGGTCTGTCTACAGGGAGGTGAGGGATAGCTGCAGCGCGACGAGGGCCTGCAGACTTGGCTCTTTGCGTAACCCCAGGAACCCCTGGGAGCTCTGGGCTCTCCCAGTCATCCCGGAGTGGGAAGCATGGTCCTGGAGGAGTCGGGTGCCAGACGGCAGACACTGAGTGCCAAGATGAAGAGATCGTAGGGTGCCCGTTGTGGCTGCGGTTGAGGGCCAGGGGTTGCATTTGCCCTTGGGGGATAGAGAGACCGTGGTCTTCTTTGGTGCAAAACCATTGTGCATTGTTACTGCACATATGGCACTGCTGCTAATAGTAATACAGTGAAAGCTTTAACGAAGCATTAGACCCTCGCTAGCCTGTAATGAACAAGTGAAGAAGTTACACATTTTCAGAGAGGACGTGATTGCTGGGGGGCATGGCCGCCAAGGCTCAAGCCCATCGACTTCTGCAGCTTTATATTTGGGGGTATTTGTGATTCAGCAGAACTGTTGGAAGCCCATTGCATTCGTCATTATTCTTTAGTTGTGTATATGTGTGTTTTGTGACATGATGATTGAGGGAAGTATTATTTCAAAGTGATTGATTAAAATAGCTAGGACAAGTGGATTGTCTACAGGTGCCAAGATTGCTATTGACACACTCCCTCCCCACCCCAGTGAAAAGGAAGGAGCTCCGTTGTAGTGCAGTAGTATCCTTGAAATTTGTTATTTTTCAGAAGGAAGTAAGGAAGAGCATTTTACAGTCATAGATTTCCACCATCCCCCCCTGGATAGGGAGTTCACGCCTCCATTTTCATGTTATTTCAGATTTCTCTATTTAGTACAGAGGCTTCAAGTTAAGGACAAATTGACTCTACAGTATAAGCCATCCATTGCATGACATCTTTTCTTACATCTTTCATCACGAGGAAGATTTCTGTGAAATTACAGTGAAAATCTTTCCCTATTGGTTATGATAGGATTGCACAGGGAATAGTAGAAACAGTTTAATTATAGCAGTGCTTTGTGGCAATATGTTTTAGCTCTAGGGCAGCTGGGCTGCTCTGTCCTAGTTAGACTTCCTAAAGCAGAAGAAAATTCTCACCAAAAAGAATTTAGTTATAGTAATATGATTAGAGGTTCTAAATGAATATGTGGAAATTATTTGGTAATATAAAAATCTTTAGATTATGTGATACTGTGAATGTGTTTGCATTCAGATTAAACCAAAATGCAAAAGATTATTTGTAGACTGAGACACTAAAGATTTTTCCAAAGATAAATACGTGTTTTTTCAGAAATAGAAATATTCATGTTTTGGAAGATAATATGTTTGATTAGATAGATTTTAACCTTTGTGTTGTATGGATGTAGGTGTGTGTATTTGTATTTAGTCTTGGGCTTCTCCTAATTTTGTGTTATTTCTGGCAATATTGTTCATCCTTTTCTGTGCATCAAATGGGGATTGTTTATTATCAGAGTGACTCAGGGAATGGTAAGGCACCCTTATAATCTCTGTAGGGCTTGAGCTGGATCGGTGGCATTCTACACCCTTGCTACTCAGAGTGTAGTATATGGTATCACCCGAGACTTGGTTAAAATTGCAGTCTCAGGCTTAACCCCAGAGCTACTGAATCAGAATCTGCACTTTAACAAGCTTTCCACATGATAGGAATGTACTTTAAAGCTTGAGACACACGCCTTTGGTTGGTAAGGAAGACTGAGGTCATGCATAAAAATTATAGCGTCATTAATTTTAATTTAAGGTGATCTTATGCTGATTATAGAGCCTAATGTATCTGATTGAAGAAAGTAAAACCCAACAAGGGCTAGTGACTTGTATAAGGTCACACATATCTAGATGTAAAACCCAGGGTCTGACTCATTCCATTGCTTTTCGTTTGCTATTTACTGCCAGATTATTAAAACTGAACCAAAGCATTCATGAATGACATCTAACTATTCATTCAACAACAAACATTTATCATGTAATGGACAGGCAGGCCAATAATCCTGTGTGTCTTTAATAACTACTTCTTTTCCTTCTTCTGTCGAGATTGCTACTGACATACTCCCTCCCCACCCCAGTGAAAAAGAGCTCCGTTGTAGTGCAGTAGTGTCCTTGAAATTTGGTTATTTTTCAGAAGGAAGTAAGAAAGAGCATTTTACAGTGATAGATTTCCACCATCTCCCTTTTGGATAGGGAGTTCACGCCTCCATTTTCATGTTATTTCAGATTTCTCTATTTAGTACAGAGGCTTCAAGTTAAGGACAGATGGACTCCATAGTAGAAACCATCCATTGCATGACAGCTTTTCTTCCATCTTTCATCACCAAGGAAGATTTCTGTGAAATTATAGTGAAAATCTTTGGTGGTAACCCATGGCAGTTATTAACCTGCTTTTTCTTTTCCTCCTTAGTCTTTCCTGGATAAAGTTGCTTTCCACTTGACAAGAGGAAATGAAAGACTTTCATGAGAACTGAGAACTTCATTGCTTTTTGTCCTCTTTCATCTGCAAACGTCTACCTCTTTCTGTCCATCTCTAAATGCTCTGAGTTTTTTCTCCTTAATGACAATGTTTCCTCAGTGTATTGGTTTGCTAGGGCTGCATTAATAAAATACTTCAGATTGGGTGACTTAACAGAAATTTATTTTCTTACAGTTTAGGAGGCTGGAAGTATAACATAAGGTTCCAATGGGATTGGTTTCCTCTGAAGCCTTTATTCTTGATTTACAGATGACCACCCCATTTCCGCCTCTTTACATAGTCATACCTTTGTACACTAGAACCTCTGGTATTTTTTTTTTTTTAATTAGAACACCTATTGGATGATGGCCTCATTTTAACTTAATCACTTCTTCAAAAATTTTACCTCTAATACTAAGGATACTGGGGTGATGGCCCCAGTATATGAATTTTGGGGGAACACACTTCAGTCCATAAGCTCCTATATACTGTGGACCAGCACTAACTCATCAGGATTTAAACACAGTCATTTTCAATACTCTCTTCATCTTCAGTTTCATCTCTAATTATTTGCTTAAGTTTCTTGAAAGTTATATTTTTCCTACCTCATTACTTTCTTCTCCTGATATATTGAAATCTATCAATAAACTGCAGTCACTGAATTTAGTGAGGATGATGATCCATTGATCTCTTTGTTTTGAAATGTACTGGAATCTTTTTAATAATTTGATTTGACTAGTTGTCCTTTGAAATGCTGTTATGTTTCTGCCACACTATAGTTTCCTTATTTCCCTCCTATGTCTTGGTTTATTATTCTGTCTTCTCTGACCGCTGGGATATTTGTTTCACTTGAGGTGCTATCTTCTACTTCTCCCCACTCTCCTTGAATGGTCTTAGCTCTGATGACTTCAACTGCTCTCTCTACTTTGAGGAGTCCCAAATCTGTCTCTTTAGCACATATTGCTGTTCAACTTTGACACATTGTTGCTGTCTTAAGATACCTTAAACTCATGTCAAAAATTGTTTCTCACCCTTTCTGAAGTTGTTTCTCTTCCACCTTCCTATGGTTCTTACGTGCATCACTCATTTGGAGATGCCCAGAGTCTTCATTCTTCCCTATTATTATCCTATATGCTACCTTTCCCCTGCTTAGCTATCTAATTATTTATTAAATCTTGCTTTTTTCGTCTATCTTTTCCCTGTGGTTACTACCTTGGTTCAGAGTATCATTATTATCTGGATGTTTGTGTAAACCTAAATAATTTGCTTGCTTCCAAGAATCCATACCATCTCTCTCTACCCTTCCTTTTTCTGTAGGCAGATTGCACTGTTCTGCAGTTTCTCTCTGTAGAGTTTTAGATTAAAATCCAAACCACTAAGCCTAGAAAATAAGAACCTTAATGATTTGGGCCTTGCTTGCTTTTTGTTTTCACCTTCTGCTATTTCCTGCCTCTTGTTTTTCTGTCATGCTGAACTATTTACAATTCTTCAGAAGTTTTAGGATGCTTTTTAAAATTTAGATATTTACATGTTGTGTGTCTTCTAGAACATACACCTGTCTGACAGATACCCAAATTGTACTCTTCTGGATAACTCCTACTTAACAGAAACGCTACATTATTCCCTCCTGGGAAGCCTTCCCCAACCTCCATATGGTGCGTTAGGCTTTTTACATTCTTCCATAACAGTTTATTATAGCACTTATACTATATTGTAATTGCTGCCTTTTTTCCTTTCTAGACTTGAACACAAAGTGTCTTATTTATGTCTCAGAGTAGTGCCTGGCCAGTAGAAGCTGTTTCATTGTTGAATGCAAGTCAAATTACCAGAGCTGAAAAGTTGGAATATTATATAACCTGGAGGTTAGATCGAGTGGGCTTGAAAAGTTAGAGACACGGATTTATTTTTGTGCCTTTACACAACTGGAAGCAGAGATTGAGATTTAGTCATTGAATTCATCCATTCATTCATTCTCTCATTCATTCACTTAGGGAGAGAGTTGAGGTGAGAGAGACAGAGAGAGAAACATCCATATGCAAGAGAAACAGCAATCAGTTGCCTCCTCCACTGGGGTTGAACCTGCGACCTTTCAGTCTACGGTCAACGCTCCAACCAACAGAGCTACACTGGCCAAGGTGGAATTCATTATTTAACATCTGTTTATTCATCACTTTTCATATGGGCCAGTTACTGTTCTACATTCCAGTGATACACCTTTGAACAAATCAAAGCCCTTGGTCTCTGGACCTTAAATTCTAATCAGGGGAGCCTGGACAATAAACATATACACGAGGATGTCAAACAGCTAAATGTGTTATTTGTAAAAATTAAGAAGGATATCTATACAAGAGAGATTCTGGGCTGAAGGGTGAGCTATTTTAGATTGTGCAGTCAGGGAAGACTTACTTGATTAGTTGACAACATGAGCAGAGACTGGATTGAAGTTAAAAAGGAGGACATG